TAGAGGATATTTGCTTCTCCATTAAACACATGAAGGAAAAGCTTCAGAAGTCACAGGAGAGGGAACTGGCACTAACAAGTGAACTTCAAAACTTAAAAACAGACACAAATACATACAGTAATGGCAAATTCAACCTATGCCCCATTCAGAAGGAGCAAATGAACTTTGTTAAGGAAGAAAACATAGGTGCTAACTTAAATGACGATCTAAAATCAAAAAGAATTTCAGAATTAGAGGCATTAATCAATAAATTACTCCCACTGAAGGACACGGTGGCAAAATTCCACGTGAGTTTTTGCAGGAAATGTAGAAAGCTATCTAAGAGTGAAATGCACTGGGGAAGAAGGAATGAGAGAAACAGTAAAGACATTCCTCTCACCAGCAAGAATATCACAGACTTAAAATTCCACTCGAGAGTTCCAAAACACACACTGTCATGCCTTGACCAAAGAAAACATGAAGTGAAAGAGGCAGAGAGGCGGCCATTTGTAGTAAACCCCGGATCCATGATATTGGAAGATGAGAAGAACGCCAGTGTCAATTCTGTTGCTGACTGTGTTGCCAAAATTCAATACTTACAGCATTACCTAAAAGACTCCATGCATGTACAGAGAAAAGTTGCAGAACTGGAGAGTGAAAATCGAACCCTTAAGGCCAAAATGAAACCTCTTATCTATACCACACAATCAATGATCCAAAAGATGGAAATGTATGAAAAGCAACTCACCAGTCTGGTTGAGGAAAAGAGTGTCATTCACTCCAAGTTACTTAAAGAAGAAGAAGAGAGCCAAGAATGCCTTAAAGAATTTAAGAAACTAATTAGTAAGTATAATGTTCTCCAAAGCCAAAATAAAATTCTAGAGGAAAAAAACAGTCAACTCTCTTTGGAGAAGCAGCAAATGTCCGAAGCATTGGAACAACTCAAAAGTAAAGATCACAAAACTCAGAATGACATGGTCCTTATCCATAAAGAAAACAATCGAATGAGTATAGAAATGGAAGCAATGAAAAGCAACATCCTACTGGTACAAGATGAAAAGGATGAGTTGGAGAAAAACGCCTACCATCTACTGAAGGATAAAAACTCGCTGGAAAACCAACTGAAAGAAAACCAGCTAGAGATGCTGCAGTTAAAGGAGAAAGAAAAACTTGCCCAAACGGAGCAAGAAGCACTTCTTCAAATTCTAGAATCATTGAAGCATGAAAAACTGAATCTCGAAACAGCCCTAGAAGATTCCACTGCCGCTAGGCAAAGGATGGAACAAGAAATGGAGAACGTCCAAAGCTACCAGTCCACGGCCGAAGAGAATTTCCTGAAAGAAATAAAAAATGCAAAAGCAGAAGCAAGTATTTACAAAAACAGCTTGTCAGAAATGCGTGAGGAATGTGAAATGTTATCCAAAATGGTGAGGGAAATTAAGACGGACAATCAAATTCTGAAAGGAGAACTAAAGAAACACACTCAAGAAAACACCAAGTTTGAAAAGAGCATCAGCCGACTGACTGAAGACAAAGTATTTTTAGAAAACTATGTAAGAAGCATAGAAAATGAAAGAGACACCTTGGAATTTGAGATGCGGAATCTGCAGCGAGACTACTTGAATTTGAGCGGTAAAATGTGTAATCAGCATAATGATCGACCAAAAATGACTTATGCTTCCAGAAGAGAGAAATTCCATTTTGACAACTATGAAGACACTACTAGATCCAGGAACAGACCTTTAGCCCCAGATTTAAAAGGTGTGTATGCTGTGATCCACGAATAGCTATGTATGTAAGATTGCTCAAGCTTATTGGACACTTAACTTTACAGTACAGAAGTAAGAATGAGACTTGAAGATGAATATAATTGAGTTTTGAAAGTTTTGCATTTATCTATTCTGTTTGGCTTTTTGAGGGACTGTCACACTATATATGTCAAACTGTATTCAGACTCATAATTCTGCTTCCAAAGTGGCAATGAAGCTTAGTTCAAATTTATTAGATTATAGAATTATTTAAGAATTTTGTGCCCTGGATGAAATCCCTATTCTACTTTTAACATTTACATATATTAAATGTGAACTATACTTCTTTGGCAGGAAGCAAATATTTTTAATTTATTCTGAAATATATTGAGCATTCGTACCTTAAACATATTTCTTTTCTCTTTTTCAGGAATTCCAAATAAGCTATATCAATTGGTTCCATCCAAGATAATGTAAATAAAATTTCTAAAACATCAGTGTTTCAAAACTTCTTTCCCCCTCTCCACACTAAATAATCTTAAATTAATTTTATATATTATTATAATAACCTTGTAACTCACCCAAAAAATTAGTTTTCAAAATTAGAAATTGGAATTAGGCATTTAAACATATATATCTATATAGATATATATGTATAGATGTGCATATATACATACATATACGTGTATATATACATACATAATTAGACTGTCAAGAAGTGTGAAGAATCGGATCATTTATCCATTTAATAAGCTAGTTTAGTATCCTACTACAATTTCACGGAGTCTAGGGAAAGACATGGGGGTCTTGCGTCAGCAACATAGGAGAATTTGCTACTTGCAGTGGTATAGTAGCTACAGCATTAGTATTTTTGCATAAGTCTCAAGTCTCAATTTCCTATAAGCAACTTAAAGACCACCACTACACAGTGGGATGCATAGGAGAGTAGCCTTGACATTATAGAAGCTAAATCTTTTATAGGGTGCAACAAACTTGCCTTTTTCTTTTCTGTATGGAAACATTATTGCTGACAGTAAGATGTCTGCCCTGCCGCCTCCCTCTAGCTTCCAAGGCTGTAAGCAAAATTACTCTTTGCTCCAGATGGCAATAATATCTTTTAGAACTGTTGGCCGTAGAATTCCTTGTTAAATGCTGTGAAATGCCTTTTCCTGTACTTTAGATAATCATGTGTTTTCTTTCTTTTCGATCTGTTAATATGGTAAATAACATTAATTTTGAAACATCATACCAACCTTGCATTCCTAAAGTTAACCCTACCAAATCATATGGTATTAGTCTTCCAAAGATAGATAGATAGATAGACAGATAGATAGATAGATAGATAGATAGATAGATAGATAGATAGATAGATAGATAGATAGATAGATAGACAGACAGACAGATAGATAGATAGATAAGCGAGCAGATGAATGGACAGACAGCCAGATAGATGGGAATTTATTTTTTATTGTCTACAGCTGGTCTGGTTTTAGTATCAGGAAAATCCTGGTCTTACAAATATTTGTTGAGAAGTGTTCCCTCCTCTGTTTACTGATAGTAGTAGTATAAAGTTAACATTGTCATTCATACTAAATCTAATCCACCAGAGAGATTGGGGTTTTCTAATCTTCTGAGAAGATTTTAAATTGCAAAATGTATTTCATTAATAAATATGGAACTATTCAGGTATTATGTTTTAGTCAGTTTTGGTAAATTGTATGTTCTGAGGGATTTGAGTTTATCATGTAAATTTTTAAATTGTCATGAATTTGTAATATTATGATTTAATGTCCAGAGATCCTGTGATACAATGTGTTATATTGCTGATACTGGTTGTTTGGGGTTGTTTGGCCTATCTAGAGTTTATTTCATTATTCTTTTGTAAAATCAGCTTCTTGCTTCTGGTCTTTCTCTATCAGTTTGCTTGAGTCCATTGATTTGTTTTTCTATTTAATCAATCAGTCCTTAGCTTTCTTTGGGGCTTAATTCATTTCTTTTCTACTTTTTTAAGGAGGAAGGGCCCTTATTTTTCTCTACCATGTATGTTTAAAGCTTTAACTTTCCTTTCAAGGACTTATATAAATGAATTATCTAGTTTGATATGTTTTCATATTCATTTATTCAAAATATTCCTTGTTTCTCTTGTTATTCTCCACTAGATGGAAAATTATAACTGAATTGGATATTTTCAGATACTTTTCTAATTTTAATTTTTCTAATTCTGTTATAATCAGAGAACATGTCTATATAGTTTGTCTTTTACTGAGACTTGTTTTAATTTCCCAGAATATAGTTTACCTTCACTAACACTTAATGTGAACTTAGAATATTCTGCTGTTGTTGCATGAATTGTTTTATAAATATCAACTCAGCACTGACAAGCGCTGAAAAAAAAATCTGTATTTTTACTGGTCTTCTTTCTACTGGTTCTAACAGTTACTGATAGAAGAATAAATAGATTTCATTCTACCTGTTTTTGTTACACATGTATAAAGCACACTGATGTACTTTTCAGCATGTGTATGCCCTGTTGGTGAGCTGACCCCTTTTTATTATTATGAAATGGCTATCCCTGGTGAGATCTCATATTCTGAAGTTTTTGATATAGAAACCATAGGGTTTTTTTTATATTTGCAGAGTATACCTATTTGCATCCTTTTACTTTGTGCTGCGTCAGTAGGGCTGAGGAGGGATGGATGCTCCAGGAGAGGCAGCTGTGCGCAGCTAGGGACAAATACGAAAGACTGCCAACCACAAAGCTCATCCTTCTTTTCCTTGTAAGATGCCAAGCCAATAAGTTCATTCTCATTTCCCTCAACTCATAATCTGTTGCTTTGCATAAGTTAAAAACAGAAGACATGGCACCCTGTATACCCATGCATGATACAATATAAACAAATCTAATTTGTATTTGCTATTGAGCATATTGATAGGTTATGACATTTGAATATCACTATTTAAAATGCCTCGGAGAATAAGCAACTTAAGAATTTGCTGTGCACTTTCTCACCTCCGATCCTTACCACTGCCCCTCCCATCCCCCTTACAATTTCTTAAAACTAAAACTCCTTAAAAATGATAGGCTACATTTCAACATTTACTAGATAGCATATTCTACTTAGAAATATAGATCTAAAGACATAAGTCAGAAAGCCCACTTCAATTATTAGCAAATACTATTTATTAATTGATAGTATTGAAATCAAAAAGAATATCAGAGTTTCAGGTTGAAATTTCTTTGAGATACTTGAGCTATCTGTTCCACATTTTGTATTTTTTTTCCAACAATTAGCTCTTCATAAGGAGTCACTGGTCGTCAGGATCTAAAAGCTACTTGTCTTCCAGTTAATAGGGCTGTACTGAAGCAGTCTTGTAATTATTTGTATTCAGTGTTCTACAATTAGAAAATAACACATAGTTTTATAGTTATATTTTATAGGTAAAAATCTGTGTCCTCTCATAATTTGTTAACATTCTCATAATTTTCTAGCATGCTAATTATCCATAAAATGTTTCCTTCCTTTTATAGTTGTGAATATCTAACCCAGCACCTTGACATGTTATACATGCGAAACATGTAGTCTCCCACTGAGCTATACACATCTTCAGCCCACAAACAAAATATTCTTGTCAACTTAAAACCTTCATCTTTATTAAAGTCAGATATATCAGTAACTCATGCGTGTAATCCTAGCTACATAGGAGGCTGAGATCTGAGGATCCTGGATCAAAGCTAGCCTGGGCAGGAAAGTCTGTGAGACTCCACTATTAATCACAGAAAAAGCCAGAAATAGTGCTGTGGCTCAAGTGGTTACTAGCCTTGAGCAAAAGCTCAGGGACAGAGTCCAATCCCAGAGTTTGAGCCCCAGGACAAGCAAAATAATGATGATGATGATGATGATGATGATGATGATGATGATGATGATGATGATGATGATGATGATACATATATACATACACACATAAAGTCAGAAAGCATAATTTAAGAAGAAGAATTATGGGAAATAAAAGATTTCTTTGAAGTATAAAAGGTAGACACCTTGATTGTTGAGACAAGTAAAAGATCTTCCTACCTTTTGACATTCAAAGCCACTATACTTTCAATTGGTCTGCTTTTTGGTCCATTTGGCGGATGGAAAATCTTCTCACTTTTTCCGACAGGCTCCTTTCTGAATTTAACCACAGCTGGTTCAACAGAATGTGACGGATATGGGTCAAATGTTCCAGCCTTCATTCCACCAGGCTACCAAGAAAAAATAGACTGTCTCATGGGATTTTGTGAAATGCTTCTGCACAATTAGATCTTGAAGAATTTCCTTCATATTTTGGTAGTCTATTGAGTTGGTTTCACATTTTACAAAAGCTATTCTTTATGGACAGGGCTGGGAAAGGTGGGAAGAATGCTGGAAGTGATGACATTGATCAAGATGCATTGTACTCATAAACTGACATGTTGAATTGAAACTCCTTTATACCAGTGATACTGATCAAGATGTACTGCATTTATAAATGGATTTGTTGAATGTACCCCTTTGTACAATTACTTAAAGATACAACTGAAACCAGGCTCTGGTGACTCACTTCTGTAATCCTAACTACTCAGAAGGCTAATATCTGAGACTTGTGGTTTAAAGCCAACCAAGGCAGGAAAAGTATATGAGATTCTTATCTCCAATAAACTACCAAAAAGTCAGAAGTGGAGCTGTGGCTCAACTGGTAAAATCTTAAGCCTTGAGACAAAAAAAAAAAAAAAGCTCAGAGATAATGCCCAGGCCCTGAACTTAAACCCCAGGAGAGGAGGAGGAGGAGGAGGAGGATATAAAAAAGCAACCCTTTTGTACAAGTAATGAAAAGTAATTATTGAAAATGAAAAATGAATTGATTAAAATGAATTTTACTTACTTTTTTCCCAGGAGAAGAGGGTTTAAAAGCACCTGAAAGTAATTCTTTTTTCACTTCTTTTTTGATTGGAGGCAAAGTTTTCTCAAATAAGTAAGGATTAACATCAAAGTAATCCTTTGGGTAAAGATTTAACTTGAATGGAGCCCCCTTCATCAAACGGTGGTGGTCCTCTATGTGTTTCTATAAATTGAATGAAATTACACAGCGTAAGTATTGCAATCTGAAAATAATTTAGAATAAAATACATTTACATTTTAATATAAACATATAGGTTCTATGACATATATTGCTGAATACACTTTTAAATTTTTGTTTTACAAATGAAAAATATGCAATCTCTGAAGAAGTATATGTCTTATTTGTTTGGTGTGTACATGTTTTGAAGCATAGAATGTATTACCGGATCAAAGCTTTACTTTCTGGGCAATATTAATTCTATTTAAAAAATTTGATTGGTCTCTTGTGTACTGTTCAAATCCCAGTTCCTTCTTGCTTTTTAAGGATTTCTCAGAGAATTTTAGAAAGTTACTTAACTTTTATAGTGTTACATCTTCTATAATTGTAAATGAGACTATTCCCCACCCATTAATATGTTGTGAAGAATAAGATAAAATTATGGATCTAAAGCACCCAGTATATATATTACATCCTCAGTTAAATTCATTTTATTACAACAAAAAAGCTTTATTTTTACCTTGTATCTATTTCATATTACAAGATTTTAGCTACTTAGTGCTCAAGTAAAACAAAGATTTATTTTGTACTTACATTGCAATCTTTTTGTAGGACAGTACTAAGTATAAAAATTGCTAGCTGTTAATAAACTAGCAAAATAATTTACATGAAAACAAATTATTTATAAAATTCACTAAATGGGGCTGGGAAGGTGGCTCAGTGGTAGAGCGCTTGCCTTGCATGCCTGAGGCCCTGGGTTCAATTCCTCAGCACCACATAAGCAAAAAGAAAAAGTCGGAAGTAGCTCTGTGACTCTAGTGGTAGAGCGCTAACCTTGAGCTGAAGAGCTGAGGGACAGCGCCCAGGCCCAGAGTTCAGGCCCCACAACCGGACCCCCACCCCAAAAAATTCACTATATATTTTAGCCAGGCCCAAATGATCATGCCTGTAATCCTAGCTACTCAGGAGGCTGAGATCTTAGGATCGCGGTTCAAAGCAAGCCCGGGCAGGAAAGTCCGGGAGACACTAATCTCCAATTTTACCACCAGAAAACCAGAAACAGTGCTATGGCCCAAGTGGTACAATGCTAGCCTTGAGCTAGAGCGCTCAGGGACAGTGCCCAGGCCTAGAGTTCAAGTCCTGTAACTTGAACTCTACACACGCACACACATACACACACACACACATATAAAGACATCTAAGAAATTAACATTGCTGACATTTTATCATTCAACAAACTGAATTTAACTGAAATCTCAAATAGTTACTTGAGAGAAATTATTTTCACTAGTAGGACCACTACCCAAAGCTCTTTTGGATTTGTGTGTGTGTGTGTGTGTGTGTGTGTGTGTGTGTGTGTGAAAATACTGTGCAGAGGGGTTACAATTACATGGGCAAGATAATGAATACATTTCTTTTTTCAGATAAAATATTATAGGTTTATTTAAAACTTAATTCTCACCTTGAGTATGCAAAATACAAACTCCACAAAATGTTCAATTTTTTTACTTTGTAGTTTACAAATATACAAAATAGAAGTTTGCTTAAATTTATATTACATATTTACTAAGGCAAAGAACTATATAGAAAAACACATTTGTTCTGCTTAAGGCATACTTGGGAATAAACCATTGTACAAATTATTGCCCATCTGAAACCACAGTGCATAACAGACTGCATTAAAAAAATGTTAAAAGTAAACCAAGCATAATTCACCTGACTTAGGTCATACACGTAGATCAGAAGACAAAAATACGACAACCCACACTGCCAGAAGAGAATTCAGTATTTTTTTTCAAACCTTTCACGTTGTCTTCCCACGTGGGGAGAGCTCAGCTGGCAAAGCACTACAATCATGTTCACAACAAGACAGCTTGTGAAATGGATAATCAAGAGAAAGGAGGAATCCAAAAAAGACAAAAAATTAAAAAATAAAACAAAAAAATTCAAAGAACAGATGGGGTCTGAGACTGGATCTTCTATCATTCCAATTCTAAATCAACTTGAATATGCCTGAACTTACAAACACCACAATGGGGGTGACCGAAAGCTGTGGATATCAGGGTATAAATTAGATCCCTCAGTTGGGGGGAGGGAGAGTAGGGAAGACCAGAATTCCCTTGAATTGTGCTTTCAGATGCAATATAAATATACAGATCACCTTGTGTTCTCTTAGCCTTCTAAAAGCCATTATTCAGTTAGAAGAAGAGGAAGAAATTTCAGGTACAGAATATGTGTTCTAATAGCCTAAATGATGGTGCTTGGTGAGTCTTGGTTCTAAAGGTACCAAAAGAGGAAGCCAAAGTTCTCAAATTGCTGCATACTTTGACAAGGAATCTATTTTTGTCTTCCTATCTGCATGTATGAGTACATTTCTTATCACGCATTATAGCCTCCTCCTTTGCTTCCCCTTCCCATCCCTTCCCATCTCCCCACCCGCGTCCCCCTACCCAATCCTCCTCCCCACCCCCCACCAAAGTTGTAAAGTTCATTTTCGAAATAACGACTTGTACATCTCATTGTTGCAAGGGTCCACCTGTATCCCTAGTTAAAGGATTTGTTTTTCCCTTCCTCTCCACAAATTATACCAATACCAAGGCAGGGGTTATACCGTGGGGGAGACACATACAAAGCAACAAAGAAATAATCTAATAAATGTGTTAGAAACAATTGCATGAAAGAAAACATTTGAATACATATCCTAGGGTTCATTTCCCTAACATCAACTTATCTGACCTTTTCTGCTTGACTCATACATATACTAGATATTGCAAATAAAGGAAACCATGGAACCTATGTTTCTTGGGCCTGGCTTACTTCACTTTAATATAATTTTTTCCAAGTCTTTCCATTTCTTAACAAATGGGACAATGTCATTCTTTCTGATGGAGGCATTCCATTGTGTATATATACCACATTTTCTTGCTCCATTCATCTACTGAGGGTCATCTGGGTTGGTTCCATATCTTAGCTATGGTAAATAATGCTGCAATAAACATAGTTGTGCTGGTAGCTTTAGTGTGGTCTTGTTTGTGAACATTTGGTTAAATGCCCAAAAGTGGGATTGCTGGGTCATAGAGGAGCTCTATGTGGAGTCTTTTGAGGAACCTCCATACTGCTTTCCAAAGTGGTTGAACAAGTTTACACTCCCACCAACAATGCAGTAAGGTTCCCTTCTGTCCATATCCCCTCCAGCATCTGTTGTTATTAGAGTTCTTGATTATAGCCATTCTAACTGGGGTGAGGTGGTATCTCAATGTTTTGATTTGCATTTCTTTTATGGCTAGGAAGGTTGAGCATTTCTTCATGTGTCTATTGGCCATCCTTCTTTCCTCTTCAGAGAAGTTTCTCTTTAAGTCTTTAGCCCACTTATTTCTTGGGCAGTTGTTTCTTTGAAGATTTATGGTTGGGGGATTTAATTTTTTGAGTTCCAGATATATTTTAGATATGAGACCCTTGTCCATTGTATGGCTAGTGAAAATCTTCTCCCAATCTGTGGGCTTTCTATTAATCTTGCTAGCTATGTCCTTTGCCATGCAGAAGCTCTGCAATTTCATGCAATCCCATTTGTCCAACCTTTCTTTGATTTCTTGTGTTTCTGGGTTTCTATTAAGAAAATTTCGGCCTGTGCCAAGGAGACCTAGGGTTTCTCCTATTCCATCCTGTAATGTTTTCAGGGTGTCTGCTGTGACTCCGAAGTCTTTGATCCATTTGGAGTTGATTCTGGTGCAGGGTGATATATAAGGATCTAGGTTTAGTTTTCTACAAGTAGTTAACCAGCAAGTAGTTTGCCAGCACCATTTACTTTAAAAACTTGAAAAAGGAAATCAAAACAGAACTTAGAAAGTGGCAAAAACTCCCATGCTCCTGGATTGGAAAGATCATCGTGAAAATGGAAATACTTCCCAAAGCTATGTACAAATTCAATGTGATACCTATCAATATTCCAACCTCATTCTTCAAGGAAATAGAAGAGGCAAAAAAAATTCATATGGAACAATAAAAGACCCTGAATAGCAAAAATGATCCTCAACAGAAAGAGCAGTGCTGGAGGAATATCAATACCAAATTTCAAACTCTACTACAAAGCCATAGTAATCAAAACAGCTTGGTACTGGCACAAGAACAGACCTCAGGACCAATAAAATAGAATGGAAAACCCAGAAATGAACCTACAGACCTATAGCCATCTAATCTTTGATAAGGAAACTAAAAAAATAGAATGGAAGAAAGACAGCCTCTTCCGTAAATGGTGCTGGCAAAATTGGTTAACTATTTGTAGAAAACTAAAGCTAGACCCTTATATATTACCCTGCACCAGAATCAACTCCAAATGGATCAAAGACCTCGGAGTCAAAGCAGACACTCTGAAAACATTACAGGATGGAATAGGAGAAACCCTAGGTCTCCTTGGCACAGACCAAAATTTTCTTTTAGATTTTTTTTTCAATCCTTTTAAGATTTTTTTTCCCTGCTCCTCTGTGCCCTGTTCCTTTCTCCACTCTGCAAGACTTTGACCAGTTCTTTGCATCTGCCCTCTCCATCCCATATCACCAAGTGGTACTGACCATTTATTCTATGTATATTTTGGGCATAGCATATTTCAAATTTAGATTTCATAGGAATCACTTTTTAAGCTATTTAAGTTATAAATATATTCTGTATGTTCCATCAATTTGAAGACACCCTTAATGATTCTGATGCATGTTATTATTAGGTTAATATTTAAGGATTGTGTTTTTACTCAGTGTGATTATTGTTATCAGAAAATATGGTATATTTTATAATGACACCTGAACTAGACTCCTCAGTGAGTACTGAACACAGAGAAAAGATCCTTCTGAAAGAATGGGTGGTAACGGTGTCTAGTTCTGACACAGAGCTGGGTTCAGGAGAGATCTCAGTAGCTATGCAGAAACTTCATGATTCACAGGGTATGGAATAAAATACCCCAAAAAGTTTTGCCTCATTAGTAATTATTTGCCCTAGATCTAGCCCAGCTCTTGTCCCACTTAATATTAAACATTTAAGTGATTTAACTACCTTCCAAAGTACAACCCAAGAATATAAAAATACAAAAATATACAGCACTCAACAAGGCCAAAGCTTCCAGTGCCTGCCTGAATATTACTAATAAGGCAAAGTAGGGAAATTTGCCATTATGTTCCTAAGCATAAGATATAAGACATGTGGTAGAGACGAGGCTGCAGATTTAGACATGACTCCACTAAAAAGCAAATAAACAAACTGGATCCGGCCAAGTTAACAGACTTACAGCTAGTTCAGAGAAATTCAAGACAGATGTGAACAACAACAGCAGGAGATACAAATTCATCCTGGAAAGAACAGACAGGATCTAAAGCAAAACCAGAAAACTCCCAACAGGAAAATTAAAATGATTACCAATTTATAAGCGCCTATCTACTATTGCCTCAGTGATACAAAGAGATGAAACCAAACAGTCTGATCACAAGTAAATCTTCAAAGTCAGACAATAAGATTTGAAAAGTTACAAGTTATTTTACCTTATAATTTACTTTCGCCTCATCATAAAAATCAGCAGAGTGTGATAATTGCTTGCCTATTGTCACATTTGCATAGCTAAAGGAGGGAAAATAAGCAATGGTGAGTTATACAGGGTTTTTTTTTAAATTCAAAACAAATACATAAAGCAATGCAGAGTGCCTTACCCATATCCAGTTCCTTTCTTTCCTGGGTTTGTGTATAAATTCTTTCCAGGTGGTTCATACTTATCCTTAGGTTTTGCCTGTGCACTGAAGAATGGGATTGGACCACCTATTGTTCCATAGTAACTTCCCAATCCACACCTTCATGAAAAATGGGGTTGGTTTGGAAAAATGAAGAGGTTAAATATTTCACTGAAAATGTTTCAAATACTGATTTTTTTTAAAAAGGTATATAAAGGGATTGGCCCACTTGACTCTAGTAAGCAAACCAGAACCTCTTTCTGTTCACTTTAATCTATTTTCCTAATTTTTCAAAGGCAATTTTTTCTTTTGTGCCAGTCTTGAAGCTTGAACTCAGGGTCTGGACACTGTCCCTGAGCTTCTTTGTGCTCGAAGCCAGCACTCTAGCACTTGAGCCACAGTGCCTCTTCCTGCTTTTTCTGGAAATAAAAGTCTCAAGGTCTGAGCTGGCTTTGAACTGCAATCCTCGGAGCTCAGACTCCTGAGCAGCCAGTGCCCGGCTAACGTCACACATTTTGAGATATGCTTTTGATTTTTTAATGTATGTTTCAAATGTTCCACATAAATAAAACTTTACATATAAAATATCATAATCTAGGCTATTAGGATGGTTCCCATTTGTCTAGTAGCCTATAAACAGAATTTTAGTGTTTTTAGATGACTTTTTAGGCATTTTTAGGCAAGTTGGTTAACAAATGATTTATTCTGAAAAGTATACTTTCAAAATATATAGTTCAAAATGTTACTGTTGGACAGAAAAAACCATAACATTGTTTGATTACATCTAAGTTATATAATCAAACAATTTATTACCCAGCACTGTTTTATCAAATGTTTTCTTTACATTTTTTTATAAATTTGAAAGAATAATTAATGCATTAACAATCATATTAATTTCCAAGTTACCACTTAAATAAACAAGTTTTTACATTAATGAAATAGTCTACAAAAATGAAATACCATACATTTATGTTAAATTTTTTTAAACCAAACCTGGTTCCAGTGGCTCACACCTAGAATCCTAGCTACTCAGGAAGCAGAGATCAAGAGGATCATGGTTCAAGACCAGCCTGGGTACAAAGTTCACAAGACCATGTCTCCACCAGTTGTTGAGTGCAGTAGGTGTACCTATCAGCTAGCTACAAAGGAGAATGAAATCAGAAAGATTATGGTTCAGGCCAAAATGGTCTAAAATGTTTGGGCGACTACATCTCAGTGGAAGAAGCTGTGCAGGGTGATGTGTACCTGTCATCAAGCTCCTACAGGAAGTCTAAAATAGGAGATTCACTGTCCAACCATGTGTTCTGACAAAAAGCCAAACAGCTAGTACAAAAAAGGGCTGGAGGCATGGCTAAGTAGTAGAGGCCCCAGGTTCAAACCCCAGTACTGAAAACATAAATTTGGTACAATATTAACATTAATTGCCTATTTTTATTAACTCCTACTTATGATCATAGGTGACAACATTTTTTAATGGAATGAGGAATAATATTATGTAAGGATATTACAGTGAAAAAGAATTCTAGACTAGCTTTAACTAGAACATGATTAAAGCAATCACTGAAAGTCTCTACATTTAGAATGTATTCAATGCCTGTGGCTGGGGGAGGGTAGAAAATGGGAGGCTGGATTGATCAATACACACTGTATGAATTTGTTGGAACCCATTAATATATGCAATGAATATATGATAATAAAAATGTTTCATGGATTTTTTGTCAGTACTGAGGCTTGAACTTGGGACCTCATGCTCTTGCTCAGCTTTTCTACTCAAATCTCGTGCTCAACCACTTGAGCCACACCTCCACTTCAGCTTTTACCCAATTAGATGGAGATAAGAGTCTCAAGGACTTTTCTGCCCCAATTGGCTTTGAATCATGAGTTTCAGTTCTATGCCTCCTGAGTAACTGGCACCTGGAAAAAACAATGATGATACTTAATAAAAAATAAAATCTGTCAGTAGGAAGTATATATGAATAAAATAATCATGAAGAAGAAAATATCTCTGTCTCCATACTTTGATGTTGAGTAAGTGGCTATATCAGGGCTGCTTATTTAAATCATCCATCTCTCTTTTTGGAAACACTTTCTATATCCCACCAAATTACAAGTTTTTATTTTGTATCTATGAATTTTTCAAATAAAGGAAAGCTAATCTAGTTATAAAATTGTTATTGCTTAATGAACAAATATAGGCACATTATAAGTTAGTGTATCAGTGTGTCAATTCAAAGTTACTACCATTATCTGTGTGTCAATTCAAAGTCACTACCATAAGTAAAAGTTTATTACAAGTAGTAGAAAGACTGAGCAACAAGAAAACATAATTTAAAAGGTAAAACATGGAAAAATAATGAAGTAATGACAAAAAGAAACACAAACAAGGCCATTCTAAAGCTACCAGCACAACTCCGTTTATTGCAGCATTATTTGCCATAGCTAAGATATGGAACCAACCCAGGTGCCACTCAGTAGATGAATGGATCAAGATAATGGAATTCTGTACCTTCATCAGAAAGAATGACATGGCCCCATTTGTTAAAAAATGGAAAGACTTGGAAAATTCATATTAAGTGAAGTAAGCCAGACCCAAAGAAACATAGGTCCCATGGTTTCCCTTATTTGCAATAACTAGTATATATCTGAGTCAAGCAGAAAAGGTCAGATAAGTTGATGTTAGGCGAAATGAACCCCATAAGGGCTCAAATGTTTTTTTTTTCTTTCTTGCTATTGTTTCTCACATATTTATAAGGTATTTCTTTGTTGCTTTGTATGTCCCTCTCCCACGGTATAACCCCTGTTTTCACTGTATTTGATGTTGGTATAATTTGTGGAAGGGAAGGGAAAAAACAAATTGTTTAAATAGGGATACAGGTGGACCCATTGCAACAATGAGATGTACAAGACGTTATGTCGAAAAACGAACTTTACAACTTTGCCGCGGGGTGGGGGTGGAGGGACAGGAGAGGCTGGGGGAATAGTGGGTGGGGGAGGTGGGAAGGGATGGTAAGGGGAAACAAAGGAGGAGGCAACAATGCTTGATAAGAAATGTACTCATTGTAATTGTAACCCCTCTGTACCATATTTTCATAATTTAAAAAAAAAAGATGATGCTAAGTGAAATGAACCCCAAGATATGGACACAAAAGTCCTTTCTTTGTTCTTGTTGTTTTCAATGTACTATGTGATTTTTTTGTTTCCTTTGTATGTTCTTCCCCGCTGTGGTATATCTCCTGTTATCACTGTACTTGATGTTGGTATCCTGCATCTTGTATATACATTTGTCTAATTTGGGGAGGGGAGGGGGAATAGCAAAACATTGAAACAAGGAGACAGGATGGCCCATTGCAACAATGATATAAGACGGTATATTGGAAATGGACTTTACAACTTTGGACAGGGGTGGGGGGAGGAGGGAGGGAAGGGATAGTGGGAGAACAAGGGAAGGGAAGGGGTAACAATGCTCAAGAAGGAATGTACTCATTGTACAGTATCTTTACAAGAAAATAAAATGTTTAAAAAGAGCAAATATAATTCTCATTTTTCTGATATTAATACAACACTTAAAAATTAGAAATGAAATGGGTAGTAAAATAACCTTTTTCTGCAGAAATTTAAAAGCTAGCAAATAGAAACTCTTGGAAAAATAACAGAACATAATTTAAGCTCTTCTTAAAACAATAATAAGGAGAATATTTATTTTATGATGGAACCTAAATAATGCAAGTAAAACAATGTGCTTAGGAAATTTCTAAAATCTAAAAATGTTATGGTAATTAAAAGAAAGCAATAAATTAAATAGGGCTCTCAGTAAAATGTACTGAAGGTATAGTATTCTGAATTAAAGCAAGAGGAATTAATACTTATAAGCAGAGAATAAAAAAGAAAAATTTTACATTCAAATATTAGACTATTTAAAACTATTATCTTTGGGCTGGGAAGGTGACTCAGTGGCAGAGTGCTTGCCTTGCATGCATGAGGCCCGGGTTCAATTCCTCAGTCCACATAAGCAGAAAAAGCCGGAAATGCACTGTGGCTCAAGTGGTAGAGCACTAGCCTTGAGCTGAATTGCTGAGCTGAGTCTGCCCAGGCCCAGAGTTCAGGCCCCATGACCAACAGAAAAAAAAACTATTATCTTTGAAAATTATGGTAAAAACAGGTAATGTGTTATCATACATAATGAGAAAAGATAATATACATGTTTAATGTGATAAGAGAAAAATTAACTGGAAAAGATGAAAGAATATTCACTTTGTATAACTGATGATCAATGTATTATAAACTTTTATGAAGCTTGTAATGTCTGAAGCAAACTAATATACCAAATTTGGTGATTTGAAATCTAATCATTTGGTTTCCAAAGGTAATAAAGGACTGATTTCAAGACTTGTCTCAGAAAAGCCCAAGATCTAAATATTTTTGCAGAACTCAACCAAATCTCTAAAGTCAAGCTCTTGAAGTTATTTTAATTTTCCAATTTTTATTAGATAAATGTATATTAAAATGTGGCCAAATTGTATAATAAAAATATCCAAGAAACTTCAACTTCTCAGTGAAATGTTCCAAAATTAAGTGTGAACATTTAATTATGCATATTAAATAAGAAGCACAGCATAAGAAATTGAATGATATGCTAACTTTTGAGGTGGAATGTGTATCTGTGTGTATGTATGCTTGAATTTGTGGTCATGTACCTTAACATAATGAGATGTTTACTGCCTTATTAAATGGGAGTGAATATCTAAATAGAGGAGAGTTTTTTGTTATACATCTTGACAACTTGATATGTGAGATATTTAACTGTGTTATTCATCAACCAATAAATAACTTGAAGGAAAAACAAGAAACACAGTTCAACATTTATAACTAGAAAAATGAAGAAGTTCAAGAAACAAAAATAATATTTAAAATAAATAGTCACACCTATTGAAAGTATTGAAAAATAAAATACTAAGCCCTGAGGAGAGTTTCAATGGAAAATGTACTCACTCCTAATAAAGAGCATAATTTTTGCAGAGAAGACAAGATTGCTTGTTAGAAGTAAGTCTGAATGATGGAAACGTAGTAAGAGCCTATCGCCAGGGCTTCACACTTGTATTGCTAGCTCAGAAGCCCGAGGGATCTAGAGACTCACAGTTTGAGGCCAGCACAGACAGAAAAGTTTGCTAGACTCCAACACCAAAATAAACAGCAAAAGAAGAGTTGGAGGAAGGCTCAAGTGGTTAAGTGCCAGCCTACCAAGAGCAACGCCTTGAGTGCAGGCCTCAGTACCTCCAAAAAAGGAAGAAAAAAAAAGAGGAAAAAAGTATTTCTATTAAAGAAAATATAGCAAGTAAGCACCAAATAAGACTAAGCAATCCTATCATAAATTCTAAATCAAAAGAGTCAATAGTATGAATGAATGATATTCTAAATCTTAGCTTTATAACATAATATAATATAGACTACCCAGTCTTACTCTTTAAGACATTTAATGATTAAAAAAAAGAAACTTTCGCATTAATAACTGTCAAACTATTGTTAAATCTCTAGAGTGCATCATCACAGTGATTTTATTGTTTTTATCAGCACACGTTAAATTGTACAAGAGGATTTCATTGGGACATTTCCACAAATGTAAAACAATGTATCGTAATTGATTTCACCCCCTGATCACTCTCCTAGCCCCCTCCCCCTTCTTTAAACAATTTCAACAGATTTTAACATTCCATTCTCAAATGTACAAAAAGAAACTCCATTAACCATATTCATCCTCATTCACTCATCTCAGTGACTTAAAAATACTGTATTTCTTATACACTAATTTTTTCATCAAAAAAGATTCCTCTTAATTTCTCCTAATTCCATCTTTAAAATCTGTATCTTTAAAATACTTGAGTACAAAAGTAATGAAGAATATAAAGGTGATAAACCAAGATAATTTTTCCCCTGATTTGTCTCTTGCGAAGTTCTTGAACAAATTTATCTCCATCATTTAGTTGGCTTTATCATATGCTCTAATAGTGACAAAGATAATTAAAAATTAGCATGGAAGTGGCGCTGTGGCTCAAGCAGTAGAGCACTCGCCTTGAGCTGAAGAGTGCAGGGACAGCACCCAAGCCCAGAGTTCAAGCCCCACGACCAACAAAAAAATAAAAATAAATAAAAATAAAAATTAGTATGATTATGGGAATATATTTCCAGTTACCTGCTAACTTCAATTGCCCAATACACAAACTAGCCTACAAATCACACTAAATATGGACTATCATTTGGAAGTCCTACAGAAAAACATACATGTTTTTTCAGTTAGATGGGAAAAAGTGCAAAAAGTGTATTGAAGACATTTCTGCCCGAACACTTACGGCTTCTTCCCTCCGCTACTGGGGATGAAGGCTCTGGTTATATTCTTTTTGGCTTCTTCCATCATAGCCCGTCTCCTCACTTGATTCATATTTATATAGCCTTCACCTTCAAAAATCCTTGAAAACTGAGGATCAAAATAACCTGCCTGGAGGGCTGATATTGCTTTGGATCCCCCAGGTAGCATCTGTCTATTTTTGGTTGCAGCCTCATTAAATGCTCCTTTAAAAACAAAGAAAAAATTGTAATTTTGAAATTTAGTAATTAAAGGCATAAAAATCTTTTATATCAGAAAAGTTTCCAATGTGATTGAGGACAGTTATGAGTTTGAGCTCTATAAACACTGTTTCAATATGTCTACTGAAATCTATGTTAAATGAAGTATTGACAACCCAGGTGCTGGTGGCTCGTGCCTGCAATCCTAGCCTCTGGGGAGACTGAGATCGGAGACTGGTGTTTTGAAGTCAGCCCAGGCAGGTAAGTCCAGAGACTCTCCTATTAACTACCAAAAAGCTGGAAGTGGAGCTGTGAGTTGAGTGGTAGAGTGTTAGTCTTGAGCAAAAAGGCTAGGGACAGTGTCCAAGGTCCTGAGTTCAAGCCCAACACCAGAAAAAAAGAGAAGGAAGGAAGGAAGGAAAGAAGGAAGGAAGCAAGCAAGGAAGCAAGGAAGAAAGGGAGGAAGGGAGGGAGGGAGGGAGGGAGGGAAGGGAAGGAAGGGAAGGGAAGGAAGGGAAGGAAGGAGGGAGGGAGGGAGAGAAAGGAAAGGAAGGAGGGAAGGAGCAAGGGAGGAAGGTAAGAAGGAAGGAAAGAAGGGAGGGAGGGAGGGAGGAAAGAATGAAGGAAGGAAGGAAGGAAGGAAGGGAGAGAGATGGAGGGAGGGAGGGAGGAGGGAAGGAGGCATTAAAATCTAAGAGATTCTTTTTGTTTTTTTTTATTGTGAAAATACCGTACAGAGGGGTTACAATTATAAAATCTAAGAGATTTTATCTGAACAAGTGGGATTAAATGTTACGCATTCTGAATTCTAGAGGTAAAAGAGAACTTAAGGATCACCTAACCCAATGTTTCTCCAGCAACTGGGAAACAGTGTTTGTGTGTGATCAGTAAGAATATACAGGCTGGAGAGAACAGTGTAGCTCCAAACTGGAGCGATTCTGCCCCTAAGGATATCCTCAGAACACACGAGGGCTATGTCCACCTATGAACAAGAATGGTTCATAGATTTTTATTTGTTTGTTTTTGTCAGTCATGGGGCTTGAACTTGGGGCCTAGGCATTGTCTGCTGAGCTCTTTTACTCAAGCCTGGCATTCTACCACAGCACCACTTTCTGGTGATTAATTGGAGATAAAAGTCTCAATGGACTTTCCTGCTCAGGCTGGCTTTGAATTGCCATCCTCAGATGCCAGCCTCCTGAGTAGCAAGAATTACAGGCATGAGCCACTAGCACTCTGCTTGGTTCATAGATCTTTAATAACATTTACTAATTGTACAAGGCAGGAGGGCACTTCTGGGCTTAATCATCAAAAACAAGACACAGCCCAAATGCTCATCAACAGAACAAACTTTTAAATTGTTGTGTTTGTATAAAAAATACTAGCATCCCAGTAATTTGGTTTAAAAGCAGTTTGTAAATATTTAGAACATTTATAGTTTGAATGTGGGACAGCTTAATTTGGGAAGTCTTAAAATAGGAAAACATTTTTTGAAGTGCATACAACCCATAGTTCAAGTGGTTAATAACATGTGAATTCGGATCACCAAAAGGTGATACGTTTAATATGCAACTCAAATTCAATAATACAAATATCTTGACAATGCCTTCTTTTAGCACTTGGTCACCCCATTCCCTTCCACAGACAGAGTAAATATTGGATAGCCTTTTTGTCATTTTTAATGCTTAGCAAAAAATGTTTATCTTGGTTTTTTAAATTTTCACATTTTATCTTGACATATTTCCATATCAGAGCATTTTTCTTTGTCACAATAATTTCTAGATGTCAATAAATTTAACTAACACATACAAAGTGTACATTTAGGCATTTTAATGATAACTTTTCTATAAATTCCCTCAGCTTTTTTCATTTAGCATTTCAGTTTTCAGGAAAGTGGTAATGGAGAGCCTTTTGGGATACAAGTGGAAATGTTGTTTGCATAGTCTCATGTCCATTCCATCTTAAAACAAAATATTCTTGGAGAAACTTCCTAGGAACCTTTATGGAAAGAAATGAAATTACTTTTGAGAACAACAAAGAAAAGTCAAGGAAGTAATACAATGAGCTTCCTACTCTTGGAAAGTTAAGTCGTCTCTTAACTGTATTGTCTTGGTTAGAACTCAGTACTGTAATACACAGACCACTAAAATAGCATTTACCTTACATATTAAGTACAATTGTTTTACAGAACACACTCGCTATTCAGCCATATGCTACCAAATATACTTACGATTATATGATGATACATATTTATCACCAACAGTTACGTATTCCATCTCGCTGAAGAGGCCTATCCTCTCCATGTCTGTTTTCCCTCCTTCAGCAGGCATGATTGCTTCTTAAACTGGCAACGTCTAAAGCTTCCTTAAAGCTGCTAGGCAGCAACTCTTAAAACAAATTATTGCTTTACACTGAAAATAAGAGGAAAAACTTTAGCCAAAAAGTGGTTACTAAATTTCAACCCAAGTTATTTTCAGCTAAGATTTCTAATATTTACTATAAAACAATAGGGGTGACAGTGAACAAAATACATTATACTCATAAATGGACATGTTGAATTAAAATCACTATGTACAACTATGTAATTAATAATAATAATAGTATCCCAAACTACTGGGAAAAGAATCTGCTTGGCTGTGTGGAGAATAACACCAGGAATCAAAATTATCACCAAGAAGACAGCCTTTGCCTCTATGTGAAATGCATACAAATTACCAAGGAACATGTATGATAGCATCTTCTGATTATTTGTTGGAAATAAAATTACTACCATGTAGTAGAAACATGGATAAGTGATATGCTTTAAGAAGTTCATATAGATTTTTAAAACCATAATTATATGTAGTAGGCATAGTTGGGATGAATTTGACATCCTACATTTGTCTATAATATTGAAACTTATAACAGCTTTTCAGAATGCACAGCACATATAAGTACTGCCCTGCAGTATGTGGGGGATTTCTTTTCAAATTTAAATGAATATAAGAAATGAGTCACTGGCACCATTAGTTCATTAATGGGATGAGGAAGGGAGAAGACAGTGGTTTAGGCAAAATGAAAATACAAACAACTAAACAGACAACACTTTGTGATGAATTAGGAATATGTAAAGCTCAGACCCTAGTGAGATTGCTTTAGAAATGATTTCACAAACAAAAGGTGAAATATCACATTCAACGTGCAAGTATTACTTTAGAAATTAATATTTTAATTACATACATTCTTAAAAGGAAGCCAAATGAGCTAATAACACTTTCATATCAATGCTTATTTTTTTTCAGCATAAACTACAATGTGGGCCCAGGCATGCATTAGTGAACAAACATAGTGACCTATGGAGTTCATGCTAGGACCAATGATAAGCACTCTCCCTAGAGGCCTAGTTTGCTATTGATACTTTGTTGCTATTATCCTCGTTTTCAGAATAAGGGGATGGAGCACAAGTAGGTCAGTAAGTGTAGGTGATACTCGAAGTTCACAGGGAGACTTGAGCACAGATGACAGTACAGTCCATTCTCAGTAAGTGGCCCTTGGATACAGATCAAGGCTATATCACCTGGCCAAACTCCTGTTCTACCTCCAAAACAAGTTAAGAACCTGAGTTCAAAGTAAGCTGTTTCCATGCTCCTTGATATGCTTACCTATTTGCAACTATGGTTTATCTATGTGTGAATCATTGCTAATTTGCTGCATCAAAGGGCAAATGTAGATTCAGTTAAGAAAAAAAAAAATACCCTACCCATCAGACCTCTTCCTCTACCGAGTACACTTGAAGACTTTAAACATCAGTGGTACTTGGTTAAAGATTGTTTCGTTGCTTTATATTGCCCATGCAAAGCCTTAAGGATTTAAGTACACAAGGCCCACTAGCAGTCAGTGATATATGTTGCCACTGAAATTCTACACACCCTACTCCCCTTTTCAGGGTGGTTTTTTAAAATAAGGTCTAGCCTTCAAATAAAGATCCTCTCATCATGGCCGACAAAATGCTTGGATAGGGCACTCTGATTGGGCTTCTCGTTCTAATTCTCAGGTTGGGTAATAAGCAACAGTGCTATTGCACTTTTTTTGTTATCCGGGTTCTTTTTTGTGCCTTCTCTGTCCCCACATCCCAATTAACACTGATCTTTCTTTCAGACTGCTTGTTTTTCACTTCTTTATCCTATCATAGCAGCATGCTCATCTCCTGTCAGGTTTTCATCATGGTTTTTCTAATGGGTCATCGTTTTACAGCTCCAACATAAGAAATTTGTTTTGGTCTACTATACAAATCTAGTAGACTGGAAAATAAGTGCAACACAAAAGGAGTCTATTTCCCCACTACACTGTGGTTCTTCTTCACTACTTTTTGGGGGACTTATTTATGCTACCCAGGTTGGATTTAAACTACTGGTTCAAGCTGGGACTACAGATGGTTTGCTACCCCACAACTGGGGTAGCAACCCTGGGGGCAATTTTGGCTCTACTTTACCATATTCCGGTCTATGTAATGTCGGGCATACAATTAAGTCAGCCAGAGAGGAAGGCAGGGAGGAAAAGTGGTTGCCTTTGACGTTTTTCCCCTACTTAATTCTCCTAAATTTTTATTGAGCAGCGTTCACACATCCATCCATCCATTCACTCATTGAACAGATGCTTTGCAAACTCTCCTTCGAGGCGGGTTCCCAGTAGGAAAATTGAGACTGCAAAAGGCATAGATCTCCTCCCCAACAAGTATTACAATCCAGAAGTATAACAAGAGTGGAGAATGGCAAGTTCCCCACAAAAGGTGTGTGGCCAGCGTGCCGTGGATGGGATGCTGTACAAGACGAATGCTCCGACTGAGGCGGTGGGCAAATTCATGGTCGCTGGGGAGGTACCGAGTCGCCAGGTATCTAGGTATTTAAGGGACCCCTGGTGTCCGCGGGGTCACCTCTTCCAAGGGGACTGGATCCGACCACCCAGATAAGACTGTCCCACCTTCAGACCGGATTAACTCCGCTGCAGCAGCCGCGAGGGCGCGCTCTACGCTAAGCACGAGCACCCCGGGGAATGGCTGCCCAGTCCTTTCGGAGCGTTCTTCCCCTGGCTGGCCTTTGTTGTGCGGCGTTGCCATGGGTACGGGAGAATCCAATTCCAGTTCGCTTCGGGAAGGCACGAGAGGAGCTCGAACGCGCATCAGAAAAGACAAAGAGTGATTTACGATCAATAGCAATCAATAGTCCTCAGAATATTCAAACAACTCAACAGGAAGAAGTCTTCCTTTTCCCGCGCTTCCAGCCAGCAGCGAGGAGGCACAGAGTGGTACGCTCCACAACGTCGTGCTGCTGGGCATGCTGGGAGTTGTAGTCTGGAAGTCCAAACCCTGCCTCGTAGGCGGCGATGACGCAACTTCCTGTTCGGCTCACGGAACCTGTAGACTGACGTTTCCGCACTCCAGTCACAGCCAAGTCGCAGACATGGTAAGTGCGACTGCTTGTCCGCGACGCTTGCCTTTCCCTTCGGATTCAGGCCCCTGAAAGGCTTTCAGTGGCAGCTGCGAATTGTGTGGCGCGGGCAGCCCTCTTCTCGGCCTCCCCGCTGTAATTGCCGCTGCATGGAAACTGCTCCCCCGATGCACTAAAATGCCCCGGGCCTGCCTCGCTGGGACGGGCGCTGCTCGTAGCTCCTCGTCCAGATGCCCGTGTTCCTCGAGGATGCTTCTCACCAACTTGGTATCTCCTGCTTGGACCTTTCTTCTGAGCCCCCCAGCCACACCAGCGCCGACTGTGCCTCCACTTGGGTAGTTCGTGTGTGTTTCATCAAGTTCACAAGGGACTCGTCGCGTCCACCGTCTCTCTCCCTGCATTTGCTCTTCCTCCAGAAATGCCTATCTCTGCAGATGGCAGCGCAGCCCATTCCTGCTGGGCCTGCCTGCTGCAAACCTGGAAATCACCCCGGATCCTTCCCTTTTCTTAGCTCCCCAAGATTCTCTCCTAATCATGTCCTTTGGATTCTACTCCTAAATTGATGTTGTCCTTCATGTCCTTGCCACCATCAGGTCTGACCGTGAGATATTCTCCTTAAACAGGCCCTCGCCACTCTGTCCCTGTGTGGAAGTGGCTTCCCCACCTCCAGTCCCCTTCTTTCCTTTAGTTGTGCAAGGGGAGATAACATTTGATCAATGTTATCCCTTCTATCCTTTTTCAGTTTTATGCAAAGGAATAGATGAGCAATTAAATTATACAAAATCTTACAGTAGCACAATTAAATATTCTTTGGCTTGTCTTTTTTAACTTTTATCTTCAGTTTATTACTTTAAAAATGATTCTTAAAAGAAAGGATTCTTTATTTAAATAGGCACAGACACCCTGCTGGTGGTTCATACCTGTATTGCTAGCTATTCAGGAAGCTGAGATCTGAGGATCATGGTTCAAAGCCAACCCAGGAAGTCTATGAGACTCTTATCTTCAATTAACCACCAAGTGGAGCTGTGGCTCAAAGTGGCAGAGTGCTCAGGCCCTGTGTTCAAGCCCCACAACCGACCTCCACTCCCCGCATCCCCATTCCAAAATGGGCACAGACAATTTTGTGTGTTAGTATTGTTCTTTATTTAACTGAATTAGTGTGTGTGTGTGGTACTGGGGTTAGAACTTAGAGACTACCATTTGAGCCAAGCTCCCAGCTCTTTTTTACTTTAACTGTTCAGATAAGTTCTTGAGAAATTTTGGACAAGCCTCTGACGCCGATCCTCCTACTTCCACCTCCCTCATATCTATTTAGTAATAATCTATTTAGTAAATAGATATTAGTAATTATCTCATAGTGGTATAGTGTGGGTCTTCAGCCTATTTGTGACATGTGGTGACAATCTGATAAAATCTTTGAAAGTTTTTCTTAAATGTAATCTCTCCCCACACAAGATCCTTCCCCTTCCCCTCCCCGCCCCCCCCACACACATAAAATAGAATAGTCATTTATCATATATCATCCATGCTAGAACTCAGCATGTGGACCCAAGTTAAGAATGGTTAGTCATTTTTATTTTACAATTACTTTTTTCCTCTATAAGTGACAAGCCATTCATCTAAACCATTTAGTCTTTCTCTAAAATTACCCTTTCTGTGAATTCATAATTATGTAACCACTTTCTTGTTAATAGGTTAACATCCTTATATCATAATCTCTGTCTGGGTTGTAAATGTTCTTAGACTGTAACTTTGTAAATGCAAAATCGCTATTTGCCACCTTGTAAGACGAGTTCTAATTGGCTTGCTAAGTATTAGTTTTCTCTCATCGTCTTGACCACTAGGTGTCATCATGTTAAGTTTAATGCTCTTGTCACATTCTTGAACTAGATCTTTACCATTGATATATTCTGTTCTTGCTAAACCTATCTAGACTATAAGTTGGAAATAATTGGCTTAAAGCAGTAGTTCCCAGCATTTTTTTCACATTAGAATCATTGGTGCCTTGTGCCGAAACCCACCTTATACCAATTCACAAAAAAAAAAAAAAAAAAAAATCTGGGCTACAGCCCAGGTTTCAGAATTTTAAGTTCCTCAGATGATTTCAAGTATGGAGTAAAGGTTGGAATAGAATTTAGGAATGGGATTGTTCTGTATTTCTGTGTGAAACAAGGAGTTAATGCACATAATTTGAAGATTACCCTGAACTCATATAGATTCTCATTTATATTATGATACATGTATTTTGCTTTACAAGGGAGTTTTGGATTTATCTATTGTAGGTGATTTCAGAAACTGCCGATATACTCTTCAGAATAAGAGGAGGCCTTGATCTGGCTTTTCAGCTGGCTACTGCTGACGGTAAGTTTTCCAAGGAAGTCTCCCCCTTTATTATAGAATTGATGATGAACTATAATGACCACTTTTCCATTTTGCAAATGAAATGAGTAGCATTCCTATCACGCACAAGATTATATATTTGGAAAGCAGATTAAATCAAATTTAAATTTAGTATGTTAAATTTAATTTAATTTGCCAATGAAATCAGTGATATTCTTATCACTCCTAAGATTATATATTTAGAAAGTAGATTAAATGAAATTTAAATTTACCAGCCCAAGGGAATAACTCTGTGAAAAATCAGAAAAAGATGTCCCCTACCTAAGGAAACTTTACAACCTTCTCAAATAAATTGTCATAATAAATATAAAATAAATATAATGTGATTGATATATCTAGATTTGAACATTGCAGACTTGCAGCTATACATAATAATCCTATATTTGCAGAACCCATTCTTTTAAATCCTGTATTAGATTGAGATGATACTACAAATTTGTGGGAGAAACATCGACTAGATTTGTGTAAAGCAAATATCAGGATGTCTTCCTGCTTGCAACTTGGGCTGTTTCCCTAAACTGAGATAAAGAATATCAGAGGAGGAGTATGATGAGCTGTGTTTGGGGCTTGTTTCTTTTGAGATGGAACCACCAGTGAAAGTTCCCAATAAGCATTTGGTTGAATCCAAAACTTAGTGTAGAGTGGTCAGAGTGGGAGCTAGAGAACTTGACATTTCTAAAGGATGATAGCTCATACCCTTGTAACAAATGAAATCATTTATGAAAGGTATGATTCATGTGCTAGGGCTGCAGAGAAGCTTTGTAAGATTATAAGTGCAAAGTGAATGCGGAATGAAGAGTAACTACTGATAGAGCAGGATTTCTTTGAAAATGATTAAAATGTTCTGGGGTTATACAGTAATGATTGTAAAGCCTTGTGGCTATTCTAAAAGCCACTGAATGGTATAATTGAAAAGAATGGATTGATAGTCTATAAATTTTGGCTTTATTTATTTATTTGTTTATTTATTTTGGTTGTGGGGCTTGAACTCTGGGCCTGGTCCTTGTCCCTCAGCTCTTCAGCTCAAAGCTAGCGCTCTACCACTTGAGCCACAGCACTACTTCCATTTTTCTGGTGGCTTATTGGAGATAAGCGTTTCAAGTACTTTCCTGCCTGAGCTGGTTTTGAACCACGATCCTCAGAGCTCAGCCTCCTGAGTAACTAGGACTATAGGCATGAGCCACTGATGCCCGGCTTTGTCTTTATTTTGGGGGGGTCCAGTCGTGGGGCCTGAACTCTGGGCCTGGGCACTGTCCCTCAGCTCTTCAGCTCAAGGCTAGCGCTCTTCCACTTGAGCCACAGCGCCACTTCTGGCTATTTTCTTTTTGCTTATGTGGTGCTGAGAAATTGAACCCAGGGCCTCAGGCATGCAAGGCAATCATTCTACCACTGAGCCACCTTCCCAGCCCTGTCTTTATTTTTTAAGAAGACAAGCAAAGAGTTGTTCTAATTATTGAAAATGCAAATGGGTGTTTGAGAGTCACCCTTACTATAGTCTCCTTTTGTGTGAATTTGGATTTATTCATGTTGAAATTTTTTCATGTCTGTTTTTATCCTTTTAATTTAGAAATTTTTATCAGAAAGGTACTAAAACATGCACTGAGTGACCTGTCAGCAAAGCTTTCCTCAGACGCCCTCGTATTTAGAATTTGCCACAGTTCCGTGTACGTCTGGCCTAACAGTGACATAAACACCATCCCAGGAGAGCTGACTGATAGCTCTGCTTGTAAGAACATAATGCGCTTTATTCAGTGAGTATGCTCAAAGACTTCTAGAAATCATTTCCAAACATCATTTCACAGTTATAAATGTCTATTAAAAATTTAGGTTTGAGCAGGAAGAAGATACAAAATGGAAATTCATGAGAAAGAAAGACAAAAGGCTATCAGACATGGTAAGCAATTCATCTGCCTTCTCTGGTGGTAAAAATGTTCTACCCTTCCATTTGGAGCTGAGTGAGATCTGAGAGATCATTTCATGTAACCCTTTTATTTTTATGGATCAGATTATTGACGTCCAAAGTGGTTATACATCTGTTTTACATATCTAAACTTTTAGAAGAAAGGCCTTTGAATGCCTTCTTTGCTCCCACAAAAATTAAACACACTTGGGCACATTTACCAATTATGTTAAAGTAAATATGAAAAACACATTCTTTTATATATACATTCATAGTTCAAGGAAACTTCACTGTGGTAATTCTATAGATGTGTTCAATGTATTTTGAACGTATTTACCCCTTCCATTATATTCCTTCAACCTGCCTCCCACCTCCTCCCTTTTTAAATCAGTGTTCGGTGATTTCAGTATGTTGTTTTCATATGTGTGTGTGTGTGTGTGTGTGTGTGTGTGTGTGTGAATGTGGGTATAATGTAATTTTATGCTCTTTATCCCGTCACCCACTACCCTCTTTTCCCCTGCCTCCTTCTGATCCCTCTTCCTACAGAAAGTGCTCCTTTTATGCTCATTCATGTCTAATTTTTATAATTATCACCATCACCTTCATTTTAGGTCTAGCTTCTACATATGAGCAACAACATGTGCTACTTAGCTTTTTACTTTTGCCTTATCTTGTTCAATTCAGTTATCTCCAGTTCCATCCAGTTTTCTAAAAATGACATATTTCATTCTTCTTTAATAGCTGTGTACCACATTGCCTTTACCTGTTTATCAGCTTTTGGGGATGTAAGCTAATTCTACAGTTTACTATTGTAAACAGTGCTGTGATAAATAGTTCTGCAGATAAAGGACTCATTCCTAAACATGATGTAGTGACACATTATGCTCTGAAAGATAACAAATGTTAAGTATTTCTTCGGGTTCTACTGATTCCTATCTTCCCTTTGCTACAAACTTTGCCAGATGCTAGTGATAAAAATGAGTTCATTTCTTCAAGAAGTTGTACAAAGTTGATATTGCTTCAGTGTTTTCCTTCGCGATTAGGTGATAAATGGTGAACATGGTTGGAGAGGCCTAACTACTCACAAGTTAGGGAAATAATAAAAAGAGACTGAATGCAAGAGATAATTAGGAGAATCAGTGGGTTGTGCTTTGAACCTCTTGGATACAGCATCATTAGTTTCTTGTTGGCTAAAGCTGGATGGGCTCAGAGTTGATCATGTATAAGATACCACTGGGATGAGCTGTTAAATTTATCAACATAGAGTGTACAAAAGATTGTGGACTAAGGCAATTTGAACATTAGTAAGACTTGGAACTTTGTGTTTTAAGTAATTTATTAAGTTATTTTCTATTATATCCCCTACTTTGGATTGGTTTTGTTGCCTCTTTGTGATTAGATTCCTGCATTATTGGCAGGAATATCATAGAAGAGTTGTTATGTCCTTTTCTGCACAGTATATTAACCAAAACTGTAGCAAATGCTACCAATCTCTTTCCGCCATGGGCCATGGTAGCTTTAATCACTTACTTTTGATGGTATCCACCTGTTTTCTCCACTGTTTAGGTACTGTATTTTCCCATTGTGATCAGTATGTCATGGGAACATACATTGAGACTTCTAATTCATCAGATTTTTACCCACCACTTTTAGCATCCACTGATAAAACCTGCCCAAATTTAGTATTGATCTGATAGTTTTACGACAGTGATTTTTCTTTCTTTCTTTTTTTTTTTTTTTTGCTGGTCATGGGGCCTGAACTCTGGGCCTGGGCACTGTCCCTCAGCTCTTCAGCTCAAGACTAGCATCCTACCACTTGAGCCACAGAGCCACTTCCCGCTTTTTCTGCTTATATGGTGCTGAGGAATCTAACCCAGGGCCTCATGCATGCAAGGCAAGCATTCTACCACTGAGCCACCTTCCCAGCCCCACAGTGATTTTTCTAGGTCTATTATTTCCTTTGTCTTTATTAGATAGTGTTATACAGAGAGGAAGAGCTTTCCTCATGGAAATACGGGTTCTTATTTTAAACAGGAGATTATAAATTTACTGTCATTAGATATTTTGGCCTTCATATTTTCCAAGATTCAGCTACTAAAATCCTCTTCAAGTTGGCTCTGGCATTTTGAGCCCTCTGTAATTGTATTTTCCTCTGTAAGATGTTCCAAGTGCACCTGGACCTCTACCTGCTCTAGCTCAGGAAGCATTCATTTTACATGGAACACACACACACATACACACACACATATATAACATACACATATGCTCTGCATACACACATAACACTTATTCCTATTTACCTCTATAAGTCTTATTTGTACCTCCAATTCTACTTCAGCCTCCCCAGAGTTCCTAACTCCCAAATTCCTCTATTTTTCTAGCTTTGTTCAATACACAGAAGGTAGTTTCAGCATTGTTCTATACCACTGCACAGATTTAACATAGTAAGTAGAACTCAACATTTTCTTATGGTTCTTTATGTATTTAAACCAGGGGCATATAATTCTATTTTTAAAGTTGTGTTGGTGTGGCTATTTTATGGTATTCATTTGATTTCTTTTTATTGTGCTTAAGTAGTTCTACATCACAAGTTGTACAATTCGGCATGTCAGTTTGTGAGTACAATGCATCTTGGTCACTATCACCCCTTCTATCATTCTCCCTCATCTCTCCCAACCCCACTCATTCCCTCCGTTTTCCTAGTTCCATTTGCACACATAGACATTTAGTATTAATAACTACATTTTCCCACTCTTCTTCTCTCCATTTGTCTGCCCCTTCTTTAATCTCCCCCCTCACCAACAATACATGTTCCAACTTCTAGGTATTCATTTTGTTAAACTGTAAGTCAGTGGTTTTTTTATGTTATTCATATGACTTTAAAAAGATTTCAGTCTATACAAAAGTTGAGAGAGTAGTATAATGAACCCCAGTGAACCTACACCTCGTTTTAACATTAATCTACACATGGCTGGTCTGGTTTCATCTTTACATCCTACTCACTTTCCATTTTTCCATAGACTATTTTTGAGCAGAGAGGAACTTCTTTTAGGGACTGTAGTTCAATAGTGGTAGGGTACTTCCCTAGCATGCTGAAGGCCCTGGGTTGTAATTGGTTTTTTTTTTTGTTTGTTGGTTGGTTGGTTGGTTGTGGGGCTTGAACTCTGGGCCTGGGCACTGTCCCTCAGCTCTTCAGCTCAAGGTGAACCCTCTACCACTTGAGCCACTGCACCACTTCCATTTTTCTGGTGGTGGTTTATTGGAGACAAGAGTCTCACAGACTTTTCTACCCTGCTGCCCAGGCTGGCATTGAGTGGCGATCCTCAGACCTTAGCCTCCTGAGTAGCTAAGATTACAGACGTGAGCCACCGGTGCCCGGCTTTTAAACAACTTAACATAACTTTATTGTCCTTTAAAAAATCCTTTTACTCTTATCTTTAGTGTTTCATGTTCCTCAAGCTGATTGTTACTGTTTATCTGTATAGCAACAAATAGTAAATATAGATCTTATGCTGGAAATGTCAACCTCTCTTGCGGCTGTAACCCCCATTATCGAAAGGGAAAGCAGAGGACACCACTATGTTAATATGACCTTGCCAGTCGACGCAGTCGTTTCTATCTCTCCAGAAGAAACATGGGGAAAGTAAGTATCTTTATGGTGTTACCATCATATTATAATAAGGATCTGTCCCGAAAGCAATCAGAATCCATTTTTACAATGATACTTAAGAATATCCAGGGTGGTGGTCGTTTTTACTCTGATTTGTTCCTTGTTTAATATCAACTAGAGTCATCTAGTCAGGAAATGTTTATTTGAAGGAAGTAGTAGGACATTCAAAAACCTAGGTTTCCCTTTATCCACTCAGAACAATTACATATAATTTACCTGGTCCAATCAAATGTAGTTTTTGTTCTATTTTGTTTTCTACTATATTAGGGATATACTGACTGTGCAGTTAGTTACAGTTAATGCATATTAATGTTTCCCCCACAGAGTTCGTAAATTTCTAGTGGCTGCAATTCATAATCAGCTAACTGATATGGAAAAATGCCTTTTGAGATATATGAAAGGAACATCTATTGTGATCCCTGAACCACTTCACTTTTCATTACCAGGGGAGAAAGGTCTTGTAACAATCTCATATCCATCGGGAATACCAGATGGTCAGCTGCAGGCCTATAGAAAGGTAAAACCAGTTCATTTATGCTGAGAAATACAATAATGACTATCATTTATTTTGTAATTTCAGTTTTCAGTAAATAGAAATTATATTGTGATTTATTTGTGATTTGTGAAGAAATTAGATTAAAAAAGAATATGTGCTAATTGTTACGATTTTAGTAATATTCTCTATGACTAAGATTATTTGGTTGTTACAAAAGGAATTCTGGAGGAAACATGTCCACCATTGACAGAAATGAAATTCATTGGCAAAAGGGCTGTTGTTGTTTTTTTTAAGTATATTTTTTTGATCTGAGGCCAGATACTCATCAAATTATAGCATGTAGCATCTTCCTCCCCTCTGTCGCAAAGGTTTGATACTATAACACTCTGAATCTGGTGAATTGGCTCTCTGAGGCAATACCACACAAGCAGATCTGTTGAAACCACTAGTATATCGATGTGCTAAACCTTTTGTAACTATTATGCATTTTTATGTAGATGAGAAAATATCATTTGTGTGTGTGTACCAGAACAAGGGCTTGAACTAAGGGCCTGAGTGCTGTACCTTAGCTTTATCTCTGAAGGTTCCCGATCTACCGCTTGAGCCACAGCTCCACTTCTGGCTTTTTGCCTTTTTATTGGAGATAAGAGTCCCACAGACTTTCTTGCTGGCTTTCAACTGAGATCCTCAGATCTCAGCCTCCTGAGTAGCTTGGTGCCATTGTGAGCCTGTTAACTTCCACTAGTGTTATATAGAGAGAGTCTTAATTTTTTGTATGTCTTGAAAGGAGAAAATCAAATGTTGATCTTCAACTGACCTTTATGTTTGCCTCCTGTGCTTTTCTTTCTTGTTTTTTGTTTTTGTTTTTTGGTTGGTCATGGGGATTGATAACTCTGGGCCTGGGCGCTATCCCTGAACTCTTCAGCTCAAGGCAAGCACTCTACCACTAGGGCCACAGTACCATTTCCAGTTTTCTGGTGGTTAATTGGATATAAGAGTCTCAGGGACTTTCCTGCCCTGGCTGGCTTTAAACCACAATTCTCAGATCTCAGCCTTCTGAATAGCTAGGATTATAGGTGTGAGCCACCAGCATCTGACTCCTGCGCTTTTCTTCAATGATAATAAACCAACAATGTGGCCAATTAATATATTTTATCCTTTCCACAATTCTAATATTAAAATATCATAAAATTGTTTATTGTAATTTTTCATTTAGTTTCAAAACCAGTCTTTAGCCTACATGTATTTTAATAAAGTATGCTATAATGAATAAAACATCCCAGGTCTCTTGCTCTAACAAATTATTTTTATTGTTTTGTGTTCCCTTTCAGTTTCTATACATTTTTTTCTCCTTTTTTTAATTTATTTTTTATTGTGAAAATACCGTACAGAGAGGTTACAATTATATGAGCAAGGTAATGAGTACATTTCTTATCAAGCATTGTTGCCTCCTCCTTTGTTTCCCCTTCCCATCCCTTCCCATCTCGCCCAGTTTCTATACATTTATGAACATAAAAAGAAATTTTGTTAGGTTCTTCTGGCCTTAATGAATAAATCATGTGTTTACAAACTTATAATCAATATCTTTCATTTTTCTGTTGTATAACTTGCATAGTTTGAATTTATTCATTAATTAGGAATGTAATAATTAACTTTTTATCTATTGATTTTCATTTCATTTAGGAGTTGCATGATCTCTTCAGTCTGCCTCATGACAGACCTTATTTCAAAAGGTCTAATGCTTATCATTTCCCAGATGAACCATACAAAGATGGTTACATTAGAAATCCACATACTTATCTTAATCCACCTAACATAGAGACTGGTATGGTAAGTTAACCAATTGTTTATAAGAGTCAATTAATCATTAAAAGTATTTGTTTTTGTGTTGTTATTGTTGTTGGAGAATTTTAGTGTATATCATCTCTAAAAAAAATCTCTTATCTCTCTCAACAGTCATCGTTTAAGGTAGTAGTAATTAACAATGATCTAAGTTAAAGTTTAGGAGTAGAGAGGATATACCATATTTCTCTTCCTAAGATTTCATTCTCTAATTTAACGGTCTGTCTCATTTAAACCTGAGAATTCATGCTAATTAAGAATGGATATACACAAATTACACTCTAAATAAGGTGTTAAACTTACTTTCTGTATACCAAGTACCTGGTTGCAAGAACAGATGCTCATTAGAGCTAACTCAGATACTAGTAGATTAGATTTAGTCAAAGTACAAAACTTAACTTTCCAGCCAACAAGGAAATTCTTGATTATTTTCTAGTATATGGTAACATAAGTGTTTTCTCTATCAAACAATATTTAGAACTCCTTCAGGGTAAGTATTGTATCATATATTCATTTTCCATTCTTAATATTTCCTTACTAACCAAAATACCCATAAATTTCTAAGTAAATGCAGAATGATTTTAGTTTTTGGTTTCTGTGTTAGTGTTGGGGCTTGAACTCAGGCCCTGGGTGCTGTCTCTGAGTTTCTTTTGTGCTCCAGGCTAGCGCGCTACCACTTGAACCATAGGTTAATTGGAGATAAGAGTTTCAGTGACCTTTCTCTGCCCCAGCTGGCTAACTACTACCCTCAGATCTGAGCCTTCTCAATAGCTAGGATTACAGGCATGAACCACTAGCACCTGGCTGATTTTAGGCAGTAATATGCATTCCTTATCTGTATTACAAAAATGCAAAAGCCTTTATATATTTTTAACATTTATTTTATAGCACTTGGCCTGTGCATATAGCATATATAAACACTGCATTGAATAACACAGCAAGGAAATGAGTACCAAGGAGCTCCTATTTCAGAGCTGAAACATTACCACGTGTGTATTTCTGTCTTACCTACCCCCTGCCATTTTTTAAACTCATTCCCTAACTCTTCTGTATTGACTTTTTAAAAAAATCAACATTTTTGAAAAAGACATATGAACGTCAGCATTATACAACAAGTAAGAATTACATGATTATGTGCTGTCAGTATTTTAATCATTAAGTTATATCCCTGAGCTGTCAGGTTTACAAAATTACACAAGTATTCTTCCCCATTTTGTTTTTTTTTTTTATACATCCTTTATTCCTTCCTGTGCTCAGTAAGTCATCATTTATTCAACAAAATTTACATCAACTGTGTGCCAGCCTGCTGAAAAAGCTTGGGCCCAGAATGAATACAATACTGCATGTTCTCAGCAGCTCACATATTACTGTGGATAGGCAGATATTTAAAAAATAATAATAGGTTATGTGTGAAATAGCAGTTAGCACTTTGAATAAATGTTGTGTATCAGTGTAAGAATATGTGTATATTTATAGATGTATATATTATTACATGTATGAATTTATTTAGTTAGTTGGTTGGTTGGAGAAAGACCTCCACCATTTGAAGGTAGAGGACTTCCTTTGTGAAAGAAGGCTGAAAACTCTAAAATTATTTGGGAAAAATGTGTTTAAAACCAAGAGAACTGTAAGGCTTTGATGCCAGATTGTCCATGGTAAATTTGAAACAAAACCAAATTAACAGATGAGGAAATGTGTAGAAGATAAAGTTGTAAAGGAAGTGAGAAGGCAGGCCTTTCTAGATCTTTGGCAAGGACTATGGATGTGTAGGGGGAAAAAACCCAAGAAGATATCAAATTAAACCATAGATCTGTGAACATTTTTATAAGGATCTAAAGTAGAAGTCCAGCTCTCAGAACAGCACACAGGAAGGAGGCATATATGCAAGTATTATGCTTCTGGGTTAGTACTTGAGTATATTTCTTCTTTTATATAGACTTATGTGGTCCAGGGCACATATGGTTACCATCATTATATGCAAGATCGGCTGGATGACAATGGCTGGGGCTGTGCCTATCGATCGCTGCAGACAATCTGCTCTTGGTTCAAACATCAGGGATACACAGAGAGATCCATTCCAACACACAGAGAGATTCAGCAGGTATTAAACATGCCATTTGAAATTACAATCAATTGTACATTACATTAGCTCAGCTCTTACTAGACCATTGATAATCAAATTACCTACTAGTTGAGATGTATTTCTGCTTTGGGAAAAATATTCTTGTACTTGTAAATCAGGAAAAAAATACCCTAAAATTGTCTTAAATATGGATTTTTTAAAAAAATATTTTTAATATATGAAGGCTCTAGTTGATGCCGGTGACAAACCAGCAACATTTGTGGGATCACGACAATGGATTGGATCCATTGAGGTACAGCTGGTACTGAACCAACTGATTGGTGTAACTTCAAAAATACTGTTTGTCAGGTAAGGAAGCTTTGTGAAATCAGCTAAATCCTTTCAAAGTGATAGGCTGTCATTTTATTAAACTAATTAAAAAAAAACTGGTATCTTTTTCCCTCATTTATTTTCATTCCTTTCTCTTCCTCTTTATTATCCCATTGCTTTATAAGTTTCATTTTAACTCTACATGTATGTATTTGTTATTTATATATTACTTGCTAATAAGATTTTTATGACTAAACTGTGATATGTACTTGAATTATCTTTGCCCCATTTTAGACCAAACAAGGGAAACTTAGAAATACATTAACTTCCAGTCAAGTTGTAGCTAGATAGTCTAATTTTGTTGTGCTTAAATCTTCAAAATGTCAGCTGGGTGCCAATGATTCATGCCTATAATCCTAGTTAGTCAAGAGGCTGAGATCTGAGGGTCATGGTTCAAAGCAGGAAATTCTGTGAGATTCTTATCTCTAATTAACCACCAACAAATTAGAAATGGAGTTCCAGTGGTAGAATGCCAACCCTGAGCAAAAAACCTAAGCAAACAGTTCCCTGGCTCCAGAAAGAGAGAGGTATAGTCAGGAAAAAAAAAAAAGAAATGGGAGAAAACGAGGAAGGGGTTATACTGTTCAAAAAGAATCATACTCATTACCTTGCTTATATAACTGTAACCCCTCTGTATATTACCTTTACAATAAAATTAAATTTTAAAAAAAGAAAAAAAATCTTTTAAGTCCTAAGAGGAGAAAATCAAATGTTAATCTGCAACTAACCTTTATGTTTGCTTCCTGCTTTTTTCTTTTATGCTAATAAATCAACAGTTAACATTTTATCTTTTCCACAATTCTAATATTTAAATATAAGAAAATATAAGTTAATGACTGTTGCTATTTCTGACCACACCTTTTCTCCTTTTCATCTTTTCTCCTCTTCTCCTCTGTTTCTGTCTGTCTGTCTGTCTTTCTCTCTCTTCTAGTGCCAGGCCTTGAATTTAGAGCCTCTCAGTCTTGCTCATCTTGCTTGCTCAGCTAGAACACTTGATCTATGCCACCTCTAGCCTTACTTTTGCTTGTTGTGTTTTTGGGGGGTCTTTTAGGTTTGGATTTTTGTTGTTGTGATTATTTGAAATGGTATGTAGGACACTTTTCTGCCCAAGCTGACTTTGAACTTTCATGCTCTAGATCTCAGCCTCTGAAGTATCTAGAATTAGAGGCATGAGCACACAGCTTTTGCTACTACTTACTCCTTACTGGGTGAACTTATGCACTAAAATATATTTCCTATTGAAAATTTTAGTGGCAGTCTTCTTATTAACCAAGGACTTTTAATATGTTTGACTTCACAATAACATTTTGGAGTGTTTATGGAAACCAATGCCAAATAATGACAGGACACTAAGAAGAAAAGGACTGTTTTTAAAAAGTCAAAGTTTGGGTACATTAAAACTATATTTGCCTTGTTATCCACTAAGCCAAGAGCTAAGATTTAGTACTGCATAGCCCCTCCAAAAAAAAAAACAAACAAATGAAAAAAAAACTCAGCTTAAGATAGTTCAATTTACTATTTTTTTATTATTTTTTGATAATGGTATGTAAAGTTCAGTAGTTCTAAGTTCACCATCCATTTCAGAACCATCTTTCTTTGTTTTCTCAAAAAGAAAACAATTAAATGCTATATCAAAATACTTCCTAAAATAATAGTGTGTTGTACCTGAAAAAATTTTGCTGTTTTCATATTGGCTTCACAGGCACGTATACTGTCCTAGAATATCTTCTATCATGTACACAGGGCAGGTATTATTGGGCATAATTTGTTTTGTTTGGTTTTGTGTGTGTGTGTTGGTCCTAATGCTTGATGCTGTCCTGGATGCCTGGATGCTGTCCTTGAGCTTTTGTCGCTCAAGGCAACTACTCTACCACTAGAGCCACAGATCCACTTCCAGCTTTTATTTGTTGTTGTTATTAATTGGAGATAAGAGTCTCTTGGCTTTTCTGCTGGGGCTAGCTTTGAACTATGATACTCAGATCTCAGCCTCCCAAGTAGCTAGGATTACAGGCATGAACAACCAGTGCCCAGGTTATTGGTTCTAACTTAATGAAGAGAATACAAACTCTGAAGTCCCACAGCAAGATGACAAAAACTCAAACCTTGAGCTGGGTACATAGCTCAAGATAGCTCAAGTTGGTAGAATGTTTGTCCAAGAAACTAAGACTTAAAACTCATTTTGCTGATAGTTAAATCTACCCATAAGAGCCCCCTGGGCATCAAGGTGTGACCAGCTTCAGTATCATGTTAAAAATGCAGAACTTTCATCCAGTTACATAAGCAAAACATCAAGGTCTTTCTGCTTCTTTCCTAACAGTTAGTGGTCTCTACCAATGGCTCATGCCTGGAACCATGGCTACCCAGGAGGCTGAAATTTGAGGATTGCAATTCAAAGCCATACTGGGGCAGGAAAGTCCAGGAAGACTAATCTCGAGCAAACTACTAAAGAGCTGAAGTGAAGCTGTGGCTCAAGTAGTAGAGTGCCAGCCTTGTGGGGAAAAAGCTCAGGGACAGCACCCAGACACTGAATTCAAGTCCCAGGATCAGCGATAGATAGATAGATAGATAGATAGATAGATAGATAGATAGATAGATAGATAGATAGATAGATAGATAGATAGATAGATAGATAGATAGTAGCTGTCAATCCTATCATTTAAATTTTAACTCTTATTTTCAGTAACAAACCATAAAGAAAAAAAAAGGTCATTATTTCATCTTAATGTGAGCAGTAGGTTAACTGATAGAAAATGGTCTCTTTCTAGCCAAGGTTCAGAAATGGCTTCTCAAGGACGGGAACTGGCCAGTCACTTCCAGAGTGAAGGCACTCCAGTGATGATTGGTGAGTTCTTTCGGGAACCTTGGGTTCTTTTGGCAGTAGAGACTTAATAAAACTTACTGATATATAGTATTAATGTTATAGAAAATAAACCATTTTCAACATTTAAAATTTTTAACTTTTATAATATATTGATCTTTGGAATTTTTTTTTCAGTTTCCAAAAGGGAGAGGTTACAAAAATTTACTAATAATAAAGCCTGTAATAGCCAGAAATAAAAGTTGAGAAGAAAAATAATGACTATGTTTAAACATTTAAAGACCCAAGGGCAATGAAAAAATGAAGTGACAGTCATTTGACACAGCATTAGAAGTCATGGCTCTGTTACAATATGGCTGGCTGTGTGATTCTGTAATTTATAAAATGATTGCATTCGCTGATCTAATGACTCATGATTGAGTAAAAAATAACATTTGTTCTGTAATGACAAATGGCAAGCTAAGACTACTATGTGGGGCTGGAGATAGGCCAATGTCAGCAGCACATCACAAAGAACGTTTGCAAGTGGATGGGCCAGATTACTGGCAATGCTCAGAGCAGAGGCAACAGCACCATCTACTGTAAGAGGTACAACGGCACTGATGACAACTGTGTTTGGAGGAGGTTGGACCTCTAAGACCCTTTCTAGATATACTTTAATTTGAAAGGAGATATGATTAAAGCTAGGATTGCATTTTTATGTCTTAAAGATTCATTCTTATCTTTTCACAGTATATTTGCTATCATGGTCTTTTACAGTATAGGGAGAGCAGTCAACATTATTGCTGTTTCAAGACAGTTAATAGGCCAAATGATTTTTTCAAATTTGAATTGAATAGTCAATTGGGACTCATTTATGCCTCTTGTATCTCCTGTTTCTTCTTAGGAGGAGGAGTGTTGGCTCATACCATACTAGGTGTTGCATGGAATGAGATTACAGGACAGATAAAATTTCTAATTCTAGACCCCCATTACACAGGTGCTGAAGATCTGCAAGTTATTTTAGAAAAGGTATGTAACCGTTTAATACAAATTTAGATACAATGTAAAGAATCCAGAAGTGAAAAGTAGCACCCTGGCTATTAAACCAAGGGCAGATTACACTCTAAGAAGGTATTCTAAGGTGAAGGGTCTCAAATAGGGAGGACAAGAAAAACACTTAACCTGCAAAAGGCAAAATTTAGGTTAAATTTGTAAAAACAAAAAATCTTTTCAGTTATTAAACCTGATAAACACAAAGTTCATGATATATTCCTTTGGAATACTCTTTATAACTTTGCATAGACAAACATATTGAAGTTTACAATGTCTTCCAATAGAATAGAATAAACTTTATTTTAAAAAAATAGATAGCATTAAAAAAATAGATAGCAACTGAGCAGCTGGACACCAGTGGCTCACACCGATGTTCCTAGCTACTCAGAAAACTGAGCTCTGAAGATGACAGTTCAAAGCCAGCCTGGACAGGAAAAGTCTTATTTCCAATTAACCATAAAACGCTGGAAGTGGAGTTGTTGCTCAAGTGGTAGTAGTAGCAGCCTTGAGCAAAAGAGCGCAGGGACTGCACCCAGGCCTTGAGTGAAATCCCCAGGATTGGCAGGGGAGTGACTGAATGAATGAATGAATGAAGCCAAAGAATGTTTGTCTAGAAGGTATAATGCCCTGGGTTCTGGGTTCTGTATCACAGGAAGGAAAGGAAGAGCAGAAGGGGTGAGGAGGAGGAAGGAGAGGATGGAAAAAGAGGGGAGGGACAGAGAGAGAGAGGGAAACTTGGAAGCCTCAGAAGTACTGGTGATGTGAAGGTACAATAAAAGGCTAAACCAAAGTCAGGTGCTGGTGGCTTATGCCTATAATCCTAGCTACTCAGGAGGCTAAGATCTGAGGATTACGGTTCAGAGCCTGCCAGAGCAGGAAAGTGGATGAGACTCTTATCTCCCATTAACCAAAAAACCAGAAGTGGCACTGTGGCTCAAAATGCTAGAATGCCTGCCTTGAGCAAAAGAACTCAAGGACAGCATCTAGGCACCGGATTCAAGCCCCACAACTGACAAAAAAAGACTAAACAAGAGATAATGTCTTTTTCATACTTGTTCTAAGAAGACAGATTTAAGAGCTCAGATTTTTTTAATATTTTGATAAAAATATAATGGAGTTATAATGTATAGAAACAGAATTCAACAATTATTGAAACTTTATGGTGCTTACCTGGAAAGGGCTGATACTTTTACTTTGATCTTTCAGTATGTATCTTATCTTTACAATCAAAAAGAAAAGGGCATCTACAGTGAGCCAGCCCTCCAAAGTGAGGAGAGAGCTAGAGCTAGTTCACAGTTGTCCTAAGGCACTTTGACTTTCAGCCCTGCCACAATGCCCAGCAGTTCTGAGTCAGCTACAGTTAATTCACTGGTCACACCATGGTAACAAGCCTCACTAGTGTTTCTCAAACCAACTCATTTGAATATTATGTAGCCTTATATAGACCAGTCCTCTGCTTTTTCTTCTTTAAATAAATCAAATGTGATCAACTTCCATATTCATAACAAGTACCCTACGTTGAAAACAAACTTTACAACTTGGGGGGAGGGGAGGGAGGTGTTGGGGAGGTGGGGCGGAAAGGACTGGTAGGGGAAAAACAAAGGAGGGGCTAACAATGCTGGATAGGAAATGGACTCATACCTTACTCATGTGACTGTAAGTCCTCTGTACAGTATGGTTACAATAAAAGATATATACTTAATTAAAAATCAGAAATGTGATAAAAGTCCATATTCATAACAAGATTGTGCTAGAAAGTAATCTTCAGTCTTATATGCTAAAGATGAATAATGGAAAGGAAAACTGCTTGTAGCATGAGGAAAATGAAAACACACTAATGCATGGGGCAAGCTGAGCTTTCTCACTACATTTCCTCAAACCTAAATGCACTAAAGGTTACCTATTTGCACTCATGGGTATAACTAAGATAACACAGTCCATCAGCAAATCAGGACGTTACATGTTATCAGTATCTGAATTCAGTTTTTACAAAGACTTGTGTAGAAATAAAAGTTTTAAAATCTGGGAATTCTATAATGTCACTGATAGAGCTTCATTTTAGAATTTCTACCCTGAAGTCTCATAATGTTGTAAACATTTCCTTTCCTTCTCCAGGGCTGGTGTGGATGGAAAGGCCCAGACTTTTGGAACAAGGATGCTTACTATAATTTATGTCTACCTCAGCGGCCAAAGATTATATAATCTCGGATTCAGAAACTGAAGTAAACTGCTATAATAAATCTGTTAATAAAAATGCTTAAAATCAAATTAAATCCTGGGCATAGTTTGATCGTGCAAATTATTTTTCCCCCAAAGGTAGTAAATAACTGCATGGACACTTTTATCCTTTACACATTTTAATAACTTGAAAGTCAGAGTATTACAGGCATGTAAATACATGTATTTCTTAAATGTTCTCTTCACTTGGAAGCAAATTTTCTTCCTTCTCAGAAGGAGTTAGATGTATATGATAAGCCAAAGGCCATTGCTTGCATGCAATGAATCACTTCTTCTAACTTCTTCAAAATCCACAGAATATCTGTTTTGAAAACATGTTAACATAAAAACATTAAAAACTTAAAATAAGTTTTTCTCCCTGTACTTCTATAGGTCTTAGAATCTAGCAGTAGGAACTGCAAATAATATTAAAATGTTAATGAAAACTAAAGGGTAAATCCCAATGATAGACGCAGAGTAAGAGTATCATGGTCTGAGGCTAGCCCCAAGTACAGAAGGAAATGGAAAAGGGTAAAGGGTAGGGAGCAGAGAAAGGAAGGAAAGGGAAAACAGAAGAGAAGGGAGAGAAAAAGAAGCAAAGAAAGAAATACAAGATCCTAAACTAGGAGTGTGGTCAGATGGTAGAGCAATTGCCTAGCAAGTGTGAAGTCTCAAGTTCACACCCCAGTACCAGCACTGCCAAAATAAATAGATACAAATAATGCTAGAAATAAGAATGCTGGTATTTAAATGCAACACTAGATCTATGCTAGAAGAGATATTTGTAAGGGGGAAAGGAGCAGCTTATGTTACTTACCAACACTTCCGTTTCACATTTGTATTTTCTACACTTCCAATACATCGTTTCTGTTTAAGTGATGGGACACAGTCATCTCTATTGGATTGTTCATTTGATTTTACTGTCTGCATACATTTAATCATTGTGAGAAACTTGGCACATTCTGGAAATCCACATGACCAAGCAAGATCTTCTGCTGTTTGCCCATTCTTATTACATAAACTGAAATTAGACAAAAGGTGAGTTCAATAAAAGTTGACAACTGTCCAGCCTTTTTAAAAAACTAACAATTCTGGCTCATCTCAGTTTGGGTGCAGGTTAGTGAAGGACCCTTATTTAATTCCCAGCACATTAACAGGCCAGGAGGAAGAAGAAAGAAAAGGGGAAATAGAGAGGAAGGAGGACAAGGAACAAGAAGGGCATAAAGAGGTAAAGGGAAATTTTGTTTTTGCACACACTATTATCACTAGTGGCTAACAGATTCAACATAAACATTCCGTAGGTTTTTATGATCATTTTTTACTGTTTGATGAATACCGAGTATTTAGTGTTCCATGTGAATGAGTCACCAAACATCACTGATGAAAACTATAGAATAGGTTCTCCTAAGGCAAAATTGAAATAGAATACTGCCATGCTGAAGAACTGCAGCTCTGATTGCTCAGGATCCATTTTTTTCACTTGCTCAAATTGATACTAATAAATCACTTAAGAGCTTAGATAAACATTTCAATACTAACACCAAGTTTCCAATTAGACAAGTAAAATACCTACTTATTAATTTCAAAAGTTTGATTAATCCAACAAAGCAAAATCTGAAAGCACTGATTTGCTACTCACTCAATTTGGGCGTCACTGGCAATAAGCAGGCTAAGACACTCCAGGCTCCCCGCTTTGGCTGCCTTGTGAAGAGGTGCTTCTCCCCAAACATCCTTTAAAATAAGAGCATATTTCTGAGTCTCTCACTTACCATGACCTTGTGGAAGCTGGTGGGGAGGAAGTCTAATAGCTATTTGAGGAAAACAGTTCAAACCATTGTATGGACTAAAATTTTCAATCTTTCATTGAAAAGATGGAAACTCTCTTTCCATCCATTAAAACATGTGCAGCTACATCCTTATATATCAATGTTTAAGTGAAGGCAAGCACCAATAGTTATAAGTTAAAATTTCACTAGACTTCAAATATTCAGTGAAATACGCACATCACCCTAAAGAAATTCAGTAGTAAACTATGATGATTGTGGGCATGGCTGGCAGTTATTTCAGTCGTTGTGCTGAGAGTGGTAATGTAACAATTACTTCTTTTGAAATAAACCAGTCAACTTTAGGGTAGCCTATTCCTGAAATCCCAACAACCAGGAGTTCAAGGCCAGCCTGTACTACCAAGACCACCTTGTCAAAATTTAAGGGGGGGGGGGAACCACCAAAAAACTGTTGACCTAGTGCAGTAACCACTTACAGCGAACAAGCATTTGAAAGGTGGTTGAGATATGCTATGAGGGTAAAATACAGGGGGCAGGGAAGGTGGCTTGGTGGAAGAGAGCTTGCCTAGCATGCAGGAAGAAAGCCCTGGATGGATTCCTCAGCACCACACACACCAAGGGAAAAAAAAAAAATCAAAAATCAAAAAAAAAAAGGAAGTGGCGCTGTGGCTCAAGTGGTGGCCTCGAATCAGAAAAGAGGCTCAGGGACGGCGCCCGGGGCCCCGAATCCAAGCCCAGGACTGTTGTTTTTAAAAGTAAAATAGGTCCTGAATTGTGAGATGCAGTATGAAAGTGTAAAATACGTGTCAAAACTATACTGATCGGGCATTAGATAAGGTCATGTCACGTTTTGTCTGACGGATGTGGACACTCAACCTGCTTAGGTTACTTCTGTGGCTTGCGCGACATGCAGTCTGGACACCTCCGCTTGGGACGCGTGTCCCGCAGCCAGGGAGTAGATTCCAGCCTGGACACCTCCGCTAGGGACGCGTGTCCCGCAGCCAGGGAGTAGATTCCCGCAGCTCGCAAGCGTCCGTGTGTACGCCGAGGGCGGTGCGCAACAATCAGTTACCTAGTTACCTGTTGGTTGAGGTCAGCGCCCGCTTGCAGCTGCCGGAGGAGAAAGCCAGCGAGCCCGCCGCCCGCGGCCAAGTGGACGGGCGACTGCTCGTAGGGATCCGGGGGCGCGTTGACCGAAGCCCCCGACTCCAGCAAAGGCCTGAGACCCTCCACCTGCGGAGAAGAGAACAGACTCAGCGCCCCTCTCCATCGCCCGCGCCGGCGAGAGCCTTCCTCCTAACACGGCTGACCTTGCAGCTGTCTGCCCCTCCGTCCCCGGGCTGCGGCCTGCGAGACCCGGAGGGACGGTGCTCACCTCCGGGGTGCGATCTAGCAACAGCATCTCCCGCCGGACGCGAACGCCCCTGGCCAGGCTCGGCGCAGACCTGCAGGTAAGCGTCGCACCCGCCAGCCTGGAGGCCCGAGAATTTAAAGGTCGCTCGGGCCGCGCCCCGGCAGCCTAATGAATCCCCAACCGCCAACCGCCCGAACGTTCCCAGCCCCGCGGCCCCCGCACGTACACAAACACTCCCACGTGCGGAAGCGAATACAACGCGACCCCCCCCCCAGCCTCCGCGTGCGCGCGCGCACTCACACACACACACACACACACACACACACACACACACACACACCCGAGTGACTGGCAGGGCGGGAGGAGGGGCTGGCAGGGCGAATCCGCCAGCCGATTCGTTGAGCCGTGCTAGGAGACGTCGGGAACGCCTACTCCGGAGGGGGGGGTCCCTGGGGTCGGTCTGGGAGCTCCGACACGCGCATGCGCTTCGGAGTGGGCGGGCGACGTGGACTTAGAACCGGAGTGGTTGATCTTCAGCATCCGCCATGAGACGCGCTCGGTTAGACACGTACCGCGCTCCGCTGCCAAGCCCTTTAATCCTCTAGAGAAGCCGGCCTCCGGGCCAAAGGTTTTGGGTTCTGCGAGCATGCACGTATCCCGGAAAAGAGGGAACCACAAGCAGTTCCCGGCCAGGCCAGTCACCGCCTCTGGAAGCAGCCACCAGCTGGAGAGGAGTGACACCTCTGCCTCAAGTTCAGAGTCGTCCCAGACGCCTGTCACCCCCAAGCCCGGGCTCGAGATCGTGCACCTGAGCATTCAGGGATCAGTACTACAAGAACCAGCCTCCCCCCAATGGGCTGGATTACCCTGCCAGGCCTGGGGTCTAAAGGGTGATCCCCCCCACCCCATTGTCGTGTGCGAACCCTGAGCTCTGGGCCCAAGATGGGCCTTGCCCGGTTTGGGAACAGTTCTTGGGACAATGAACCGACAGGAAGTAGGAGCTGACTGTAACCCCATCCTCTTAGGGAAAGCAAGGCAGGAATATGGATGTGTCGCCTGAGCCTGATTCTTTCTCTTCTATAAACTTGAGAATCAGACTGGCTTCGAATAGTAGCCCCTGGCATCATAGTCCATGACTCTCCCTGAGTACTCTTTCAGATTAACCTAGCTAAAAAAGCTTCAGCCATCTCTTTTCCTCTAAAATCCTAGTAACTTCCTTCTATCTAGGTCTGGAAAAACTATATAATCATACGTTGGGAAGACAAGCACAGATGTCTTTTCAATGTCAGGGGTTCTTTTAGCTCCAGTTTTGGATGCAGAACATTTTCAGTCATAAATTTCTTACACATATGCATTAACCCAAGGGAGTAAGGTTTAAACATTTGTTTTCATGTGTATATGAGTGTGTATTTGAAATAGTACTTATGTTCTGGGTTTTTAAATATTTAACCTCACAATACCTTTTGAGGTGAAGGATGGTACTGCAGAAGAGCTGTCAGACGTAGCAGACCACATGCGTTCCAGTCTCCTGATTTATTTAGTTAGGTGAACATCTTTTCTAAAGGCACATGAAATTGTTTCAGGTTTGCACAGATGTCCATTTTTAGAATTTCCTGATCAAAGATGTGAGAGTTGCTTAGAGTTTTAAAAAACATATGTGATTAGCTCACATAATGGGATATGAGGTGTGGAAAAATGGCTCTAAGTTACATCCTTTTCCTATAAAACAGGTGCATTTAGTCTGGTTGTTTCCCAGGAAAAGGGACATCCTCAGAAGTTATTACAGCTTTATTTCCTTTGATCGCTCAATACCTGTCCATTGCTCACTTTGATTCAGAAAAAAAAATGTTTTCTATCTCAACTGGATATGCTCTAAATGCTTAGGAATGCTCTAAATAAGCCTTTAGCTTATTTAGAACTGTATGAAGCAATCTGGCACAGAAACACAGAGAGCAAGTGCATTATGAGACATTGAACACTAGAATTTTTACTGAATATGTAGCAGGTAGGGTAGATTTTCAACGAGGAAGGTGGTCTAAGACACATAATTCAACAGACACTCTCCTGAGCATTGCTAACTCTTACATATTTTATTTGCTGGTAGAGGTGTTTAGAAGAATGCCATTTAGAATGAGTGGTTTCTGTTTGTTTTTGTTTTTTGTTTCTTCGCTATTAACATGTATTAAATTTCCCAATTACAGTTACTTTACACATTGATAATGGGAATAATCCTTAACACACACAGAAAAACAAGCATATTACCACAGGTATATATAAAAGTATGATGAACTACCTAATTCAAACCCATAATCTCCACAATTTTGTAATGAGGCTAAATTCTGAACACAGAAAAGGTTATGTGTCATAAAACAAAGGAACCCGGGGCTGGGAAGGTGGCTCAGTGGTAGAGTCCTTCCCTCACATGCATGAGGCCCTGGGTTTGATTCCTCAGCACCACATAATCTGAAAAAGCCAGAAGTGGCACTATGGCTCAAGTGGTAGAGCATTAGTCGTGAACTGGAGGGACAGCGCCCAGGCCCAGAGTTCAGGCCCTATGACTGACCAAAAAACAAAAACAAATCCATAGGATATGGAAACAAATGAAAGAGACAAGAGAGAAAGTTCTACCAATCACAAGGAGAGAGGCAACTAGCTGCCTTCTGAAACCAGCTGACCAAGAACCTGAGCTCCAATATTAGAGCAAGAAAATGCCTCCATCTGGGGCAAAATAGAATGAGTATTTAAAAAAAAAAGTGAGATGACCACTAATTAACCCATCGAAGGAGAGATGTGTGGGGTGATTTGGCTAATTGATCCAAAGAGGGCAGGGTATTTCTAAGAAGTGTAAAGTATCTTCTGCTGTAGGGAGAAGTATGTGCAGCTCAGTCTGGTGACAGTACATGAGACATACACCATGAAATAAAGAGAAAAGCTTCCAAGTGACGAATTCTTCAATGCCACTAATGTATATTCCAAGTTATTATATGGAAATTAAATCAGTATTACTATGTTGTAAAATTAACACTAGTGATTATAATTATCTTGTCTATTTTACGGAAAAAAATAACTTCAGAGAGGATCTCTAAAACTTGTCTAGTGTCATGTAATTACTGAGAAGTACAACTGAAATTTTAGCTCAAGCTGTTTGACCTTTGAGTCCACATTCTTTTTGTTCCTAAGCATCTAAAAAATATTTTGGTCCTCTCTTAATATAATATAAAATGAGGACTTGTCTAGGAAAAGATTGGTGGGAGAAAGGAATGGATACTAAAGAGTGAACAGAATTGAATACACACACACACACACACACACACAGAGGATTGCAGTATAATGAAGCACACTAAATACTGTTTGAAAAAAATGGGGAGGAGGGATTGGAGGTATAAGAATATAGTAAATTTGCTCAAAAGTACACTGTGTCAGTGCATGAAAATATCACAATGAAACCCCCCTCATATTACAAATGTATGCTAACTCAAAAAATAACGACAGGGCTGGCTCAGTGGTAGAGCGCTTGCCTTGCATACCTGAGGCCCTGGGTTCGATTCCTCAGCACCACATAAGCAAAAAGAAAAAAGCCAGAAGTGGCGCTGTGGCTCAAGTGGTAGAGCGCTAGCCTTGAGCTGAAGAGCTGAGGGCCAGCACTCAGGCCCAGAGTTCAGGCCCCACGACCGGACCCAAAAAAACAAAACAAAAACAAAATAATGACAAAGAATTTTGGTAAGTTCAAATTACTAAGGTTATTTTCATGAAAGCAGCAGTCTTTAAGAAATTAGTATAATCTGCAGAAAAATAATTTTTGCATTCAGTAAAATAGTGATTAATATTACTTTGTTCCTGGAATTGAATCTTCTACAGTGCTTAGCCTACTGCCTGTATTGAAAGAACACCTTTGAATATATGAATATGTAATAGAAACTAAAAAATATGAAAGTGGAATCAATAGGCTAATTTTTTTTGTACAGCAAGAAAGCCACATTAATTCAGCATCCCTACTTCAATTCCATTTCTTTCCAGAATGTTTCTTTTTGCCAAAAAGATACTGAAACGTGTTTCTTAAATGCTCAATACTGAAAAGAGAAATTGGATATCTACTAATAATCCCCCTTTCACTAGCATATAGCATCTAATTAAGTTGTATACATAAAGTCCTTAAAAATTAGCTCTAAATTAAGGGAAAGAATATAAAGTAATCCTAAAAATCTTAATAGTTGGCTTAATTTCATATGTGAAACAATCTCAGCTCTTCTGAGAAAAATGAATAAGAGCAAAATACGTTCAAGTAATATTCATCAAACATTTCTAAATGTGGTAATTGTATTACTACCAAAGTACCCAAGATAGGTCAAGACTGACCAGAGTTCTACTGTGAAAACTAGTTTTTTTATTTTTAATTTTTTAAGTTTAATTAATTAATTTTGTTGGTCGTAGGGCCTGAACTCGGCCTGGGTACTGTCCCTAGTTTTTTTTTTTTTATTAACAATATTGTGATGATAATTCTATAGCTCAAACACTAAAGATGATCTATCACTAAAGAAAACTTTACAAAGATAGAATAGATGATTATAGACAAATCTGGAATTTCAACAAATAACCTTTGGTTTTAACCATTCACAAATGTAAACTTTCACAGATTCAAATAACTTGAACTAATTGATTCAGTTATGACCATCATTAGAAAAATCATACTCTAATATTGATTATACATAGGAATTTTCCACCAAAAAATTCTTCATTCCTGATAAATTCTTCCAGCATTGGTTACTCAGACTTCTTGAGAAAGTTGACATGCTACATAGTTCTACCCAATTGCATCAGGCTATTGTGAGGAAGGTATGTACATTCATCCTCACTTGATGGTGATTAATGTCTTGCAAATGTGTTCATGAAGGCTCTAGTATCTTTACTGGTGACATTTATTCAAATGTTCACTTCGGGGCAGGAAGAGTAGCTCAAGTGATATAGCACTTGCCTATATGTAAGCTTGAGTTCAACTCAGGTACTCAATTTAACCTACAGTATTGCTGAATAAAATGAAATATAAAATAATAAGAAATGGAAAGCACCTTGAAGAGTGTTTTATTGTTTCATTATTTCTCCAGGTCATATTGTTCTTTCAGTGAAGTGTAGAAATTACAGGAGATATATAAAAAATATTGAGTGAAATGGAAAAAAATTGGAAAGTTGGCCCTTAAGATTAAACTTTATGGAAGTGGCGCTGTGGCTCAAGTGGTAGGACTCTCGCCTTGAGCTGAAGAGCTGAGGGACAGCGCCCAGGCCCAGAGTTCAGGCCCCATGACTGACCAAAAAAGATTAAACTTTATAGATAAGAGTTTTCATGTCATTGGGAAGTTTTAGTGAAGTGTGGAGAGAGCTAAAATGAGCCATATGATACTGGTTTGTCAAAGACATCATAACTCATAGTTGCATTAATGTAGATTCAGAAGGATGGATGTAGAAATAAGTATAGGTATGTATGTCTATATGAATTAGGATGCATACATTTCCTAGCTTCCTGCCCTGAGAAGCCCTATAAGCAATAAGCATTAAATACCCTTTGGGTTCTTTTGTGGTGTGCGTGAATACTAGAGTTTGAACTCAGGACTTCACACTTGCTCACCTTTCTTGCTCATGGTGCTCTACCACTTAAGTCAGACCTCCAGTCTGGCCTGTTGGCTGGTTAACTGAATATGAAATCATACAGACATTCCTGCCCAAGCTGAGTACCAACATCTATACTCCAAGTCAAAACCTCCTGAGTAGCTAGCATTACAGACATGAGCCAAAGTCACCCAGCTTTACCATTTGATTTCTAATACCATCCTTTAATAAAAGAAACAGAGACTCCTTCTTAATTCTAGAGCTAGAGCAGGGAAAATAGAACTTGTGTCTGGTGCCTTCTGTATTTCCAGAAACTAAGGAAATATTTGAAAAACAATAGGATAGGGACACGTCAGAGAGACACAGATCAGCTGGACAAGAGTCCCCAGTGGCCAAAACTGGAAGAATTTAAACACCATGCTACTCTTGGATTAAAATTCCATAACCTAAATCTCCATGAATCCTTAGTGACATAAATAAATAAGTTTATTTATTATGTAGGAGACGAAGGATAATGCTTCTTTAGGAAATTCCACAGAATTTATATACATATTGTCTGGAGTTGAGACTAATCCACCATCACAATCTCCTTGCTTCCAGAGTGTACACTATGGAGAAATATGTCCAAAATAACTTTGGCTAAGTAATTGTTAGCATCATCAATGATAAATTATGTGGGCAGCATAAATTCTTGATATAATGATGAGACCAGTTCCCCTCTATGCTAGTCATTCCCAAACCTATATGTAACCCAAGTCCAGCTAGTTGTAAGACATCATATAAACCCAGATTGGAGCACACTTTGGTAAGATACCTGACACTCTTCAAACAAATGTTTGAGAAACTACAGGCGAACCAGAGGAAACTAAAAAGACATGATGATGAATTGCAGTGTGGTCATTTGGATAGCATCAGTGGAAAACTTGGTGAAATTCTAATGACAGTGTACCAATGTTGATGTCTTACTTGTGAGAAACACCATCATAATGTTAACCATAGTGAAAACTGGGTGAAGGAATTCTTTATTATCTTGGTACCTTTCCTATAGATCTCAAATTATTCTAAAATACAATAGTTATTTTTGAAAAGATGATTAGAAGCAACTTAAATCATTATGTTTCTCTCATTATGGTTTTCTGCCAGGCACTGGTAGCTCATATCTGTAATCCTAGCTACTCAGGAGGTTAAGATCTGAGAATTTTGATTCAGAGCCAGCTCAACCAGAAAAAGTCCTTGAGATTCTTATCTCCAACTAAGCAGCAAAAAGCCAGAGTGGAGGGGCATCTCAAATGGTAGAGTACCAGCCTTGAGAAGAAAAAAACAAGCAACAGTGGGAGACAGTTATTATTAGATTGTTAAATATTACAAGTTAAAAATGGTAATAGTAGGAGCTGGAAATGTGACTTAGTGGTAGAGCGCTTGCCTAGCATGCATGAAGCCCTGGGTTCAATTCCTCAGTACCACACAAACAGAAAAAAACTGGAAGTGACACTGTGTATCAAGTGGTAGACTGCTCAGCAACAGTGCAGGCCCTGAGTTCAAGCTGCCCAGGACTGGCAAATAATAATAATAATGGTAATAGTAGGAATCTTGGTGTCTTTTTTAATTTCAGGGAGAGTACCATTTTTCCTTCTCTGAGTGTACCTTTTTCTGTTCTTAATTGAATCAATCTCTTTAAGAAAGGCACAATGCCCCTGGAGCTTGGCAGCATATGTTGCTCTTATCTGTTGCTCATGAATTGTCTAGAAACATAGTGCAGGAACAAGCAATCTGGGGGGCTGCTTATGATTATTTTATAAAAGTTTAATTTTGTTTTTGTTCAGAGTACCATTTATCTGGTCATGAAGATAGCAGGTCAGTTTCAATGTTTGCTGTTCCCAATTTTGCCATTTCCTTTATTGATCCCTTCTCAAATAACACTTGCCATACTTTGGAGAGTAATAAGCAATTTTTGCATTAAAAAAAAGAATTTTCATAGCCAGGCACTCATGGCTCACACTTGTAATCCTAGCTACTCAGGAGGCTGAGATCTGAGGACTGATTGCAGTTCAAAGCTTGTCCAGGCTGGAAACTCCATGAAACACTTATCTCCAATAAACTACTCAGTAAAATCTGGAAGTCATGCTGTGGCTCTAGGGGTAGAGTGCTATCTTGAGCACAAAGAGGCTCAGGGATAGTGCCTAGGCCCTGAGTTCAAGCCTCATGACTAATAATAATAATAATAATTTTAAAAAGAATTTTCATGTATTTTACAACCTGGCCTTTAGAAATAAAGTATCACAGTGTGTATAACTACAATAGCACCAGCTCTTCTTTAAATCCAAGGTTTTATTCTTTAGAGGAGGTAAAAACAATCACTAAATAAGAGATTCCTTTACCTTTGAGTGTTGAGTGAAATCCCCACAGGAAAGGACCTACCTTAGTATCCTTAACTGGCCAACAGATTTCCACACATTTAAGACCAGGACTAATCAGGAATATGAATCCTGTGCAATTGGCATGAAGATTTTGAATATTATCAATGTTTTCCCTCCTTTTGCTTGTTTTATTTGCTCACAAAATTTAACATAAATTGAAGAAAAATTTAGTTGGCTCTTTGATTGAGTGCCTACCATGCACAACTTATTTGGTTAAAAAAAGACATGGTGGCCTGGCACCAGTGGCTTACGCCTATAATCCTAACTACTACTGAGATCTGAGGATTGCTGTTCAAAGCCAGCCCAAGCAGGAATGTCTGTGAGACTCTTATCTCTGATAAACTACTCAGAAAAGTCTGGAATTAGAGCTGTGGCTCAAGTGGTACAGTGCTAGTCTTGAACTAAAGGAGCTCAGGAACAGTTCCCAGGCCCAGAGTTCAAGCCCCAGGACTGGTAAAAACAATAAAATAAAATAAAAAAACAAAAAATGTGTCTTTCCATCTATTTTCTTTTTCTCACTATTGAGTGTAATGTGAATTTGCTCCACCCCAAAGGAAGGGTATGGGAACAAGTATTTTTGCTTTAAATAAACAAATAGGACTAGCTGGAAAGGAGGGGGAAAAATCAAACTCATTTCCTGATTTAACATTATCTTTTCAGACATCAGTAGTAATTATTTTTTCTATTTTTTCATCATGTATGTAAACAGTATGTTCCCATTGATATATGAACACTACTTGCTTGTTTCATGGATACTGGCAGAAAACATGACTCTTGAGTCATTGCTAGAAACAAATGACTTTATTACTCATAGAAAAAGCAGTAGCCAAAGTGTCAGCAAGATGTTTGAGACAATTGCATCCCAGGTCCCACAGAGGTGATTCAGAGTCCATGATGGAGGTCTGCACACCTGGTCTGCATTATAAGAGAGGAACACTGACCCTAGAGATTTACTGTCTTTTTAGAAAAGCAAGTCAGCTCAATGTCTGTTTGGTTCCTTGATGCAGACAGACTTGAGAATGATCCCTGGGAAGAGCACTCAGGGGTACATTCTTCACACCCAGCAAGTATGTTCAGAGATGCTGGAGGCAGATCACTTCTTTAAAAGGCTGTGTGTGTGTGTGTGTGTGTGTGTGTGTGCGCGCGCGCGCGCGCGTTTGTGTGTGATCTTTTAAGTAGTCCCTCTGCAAGAGAATGGGGCAAGGAACTTCTTTGATTGGTACAAAGCTACAGCAATGAAACATCTATGCCTTGGTCTTAATTAGTAGTCCCAGCATCTGAGGATGGGGCACTAATAAAGAGAAATGAAAAAAGAAAGGACACTATTCGTATCCACCTCATCTGCCCTTTCTTTCAAAATCATATTACTATTTAAGGCCTGTAGTTTCTATTGTCCAGTGTTCTCAACTCATAACACATGCAAATACCTGTCAAGCACCAAATGAAGGTTTTCTGTCTAATCCCAAAATTTGGCAGAAATAGAGGCAGATTCTTGTTTTTGTCATTTCCTCATATTAAAATGCCTCAGCTTCCTCCTATGTTAAATGGGCCTCATTAGAACAGTCCCAATTTCATGAAGTTTTGTAGGAGTGCTTGTAAAGCAGAACAGAAAGCAGTACCTGACATGTCATAGGAGCTAAACAAATCTTTTCTTTTCCAGACTCTTGTCAACATTTCTTTTAAGCTGCAGCAGCAAACACGATGGACAGTCTTACCATCACAGAAGACAATGTGAGCTTAACACATTATTGTTTATGATTCATTTCATTGTTGAGTCCCTTCCTGCATATGTCAAGCTTCTTTCTTCAGCCTTTTGGATACAGCTTAATAAAGGGGGTTGTTTGAAGTGAAAATAAACACTTCCGCACCCAGTTTCTGAGTAATATCTGATACTGCAGGATCTGCATCATCCCACTTGAAATGTTTTTCTCCTAAATACCTTCTCTAGATTGCTTCATTCTAAAGCTCCTTGGGATTTCATATTTATTAATGCAATAATAGACTTGGGAGATCATATAATCAAATAATTTTATATATCTAGGAAGGGGATATATAGTTTTCAATCTTTTAGTTCAAACTACCTATAAAAGTCCAAACTATAGGCAAAAAAAAAGACATTATGTTTTGGCAGTACCAGGGTTTGAATTCAGGGCCACACATTTGCTAGGCAGGTACCCTATTGTTGAGCCGTACCTCCAGCCCTCTTTTGCATTGGTTATGTTTTAGATAGGGTCTTCCTTCCTGGCCAGGTACACACATGAATCACAATCTGCCCAGCATTCTTTCTGACTTTCCTGCTCAAGCAGACCTTGAAGTGTAATCCTTTGTTCTCAGACTCTCAGCTAGGATTACAGGCATGAGTCACTTAATGGTGCCTGGCTAAGAAACCTGTGTGTGGTGGGGCGGGGGGTATGCACATGCACCTGTGAGCCAATCCTCAGACTCAGAGTCTGGGTGCTGTCCTGCCGCGGACCGGGTTCTGTCGGGACGACGGAGGATACCTAGGGGAGGAACCTGGAATAGGATGGGGAGATGGCAAACAGACAACTCACACACATTAGGAGTGGATGTTGAGTGCTGAGCGCTGAGTGCGATTTAATGCAGAGGATAACAAACTTTTATAGCAAAAAGTCTCCATAAGAAAGGGCAAAAGGTTACATAATCTTGCTGCATGGCTTCATTCTTGGGCGGTCACCAGCTGATCACCTGAAAGGGAAAAGGTTACACAACCTTGCTGCAGGGCTTCATTCTTGGGTGGTCACCAGCTGGTCGCCTGATAGGCACTTGTTTCCGGCTTATCTCTAAGAAATATAATGGGTTTTGATGTTTGTCACCAACTAACCATTACCTTATTTCTATAGAGGCCTTAACCATCCCATAAGATCTTTTCTGTTCCTTCTTTAATAGTAAACACCAGAGACTTAGATCTAGCAAGTCTCTTAGTAAATGAAAGAGTAATAGGAAGTTCTTTCTCCTAAGTAGTTATCTCAGCAATTGCCATACATTCTTTCTGTTCTAGCCGCGCCTACAGCTTTTTGTAAATCTCTTACAAACAATTCCTTCTGCTGAAGTGACTTTGTGAAACCCCCAATACTTTTATATTTGCTATGGCTTGTCTACTAGCCTCCATAAGAGGGGTTTCAGGGTAGCACTTAACTCCGGTGAGTTAGTCATATTTTTAAGACACTCATCAGATATTGGAGTCGTCAACACTCTTAAGAAAGAGCTTGTATAGGGAAACGTTGACAATGAGCAAGTACAAAGAGCAGTAGAAACAGTAAAAGATTAGTAGGCACTCTTATGAGGAAAAGATAGGCAGAAACACATCTTTGCCAGCCTTTTTCCAGGAGTAGGCCTCTTAGAAGCCCTATTCTCTGAGGTAGACTTTGGTGAAGTCCCAAACCTCAGAGATAGGTCTCTGAAGCCCCTATCATGGTCTGATAGATGGTTTCCCATGCTAAGCAGACTCCACTGGAGTCGGCGTGGCACTGTCCCTGAGCTTTTCTGCTCAAAGCTAATGCTCAGCCAGTTGAGCCACAGCTCCATTTCTGGCCTTTTGGTGGTATATTGGAGCTAAGAGTCTCATGGACTTTCCTGCCCAGCTGGCTTCAGTCTAGTTCCTTAGATCTCAGCCTCCTGAGTAGCTAAGATTACCAGTAGGAGCCACTGGCATCCCACTGGAAACTGCTAAATAAACTTCTAAATAAAACAACTCTTCCCGATTCATGAAGATAGTTCAGGAAAATTTTCTTTTTGCTAATGTATCGAATGCTCTCCCCTTTCTACATTTCATCTCATTTAATACAGCAATTAAAATAGTACCCTCTAGTTCTGTAAATGCATCTTTCCAATCACACGAAGGGTCTCTTGAGCTCTTCCCTTGACCACCAATCAGGAACCTTGACTGGAATGTGGCCCCTTATTGGTGAAAATAGATTGTAACAATAGAATGTCAAGAAATAAACAAAAACAAAAAAGCATAGCAACACAGAGTGACAGAGTTTGCTGTCTCAACTACTCTCAGCCCAGGCCCACCTGGACTCCTTCATTCCAAATGAGGCGGCCTCTACATTGTTATTAAGGCTCTGATTTACCATTCAGCTGGGACCTGTCTCATCACATGGGAATCCATTGCAGAAGGAAGGGTAAAACTCAGCAACACAGCTAAAACATTTCCCCAGGTAAAATAGACATATGCTTTAAGTTGAAATGGATTCCTTGATGTGCTTCAGTTATAAAGCAATAGGAAGACACCAGTGCACAAGAAATATATATATATATACATATATATTAATATAAGAAGTATATACAAGAAATATATATATATGTACATATATATTAAGAAATATATATGTACATATATATTTCAATATATATGTACATATATATTAAGAAATATATATGTACATATATATATATATTTCATATATATGAACAGCATCACCAGTTCTCACCAAGAGGCAGCAGTTATAAAAAGTAACATGACTCTCCAGTGTGTGAACTTAAAGCCAGACAGGACTTGGTAACATGGTTCCTCATTATCCCCTTTGCAAAAAAAGGCAGAAGGATGGCTATGAGAAATATAGCCTATGTAGGAATGTTCACAACCCTGGTACTTTGGTGTCTACTGATAGGTGAATAGGGGAAGATGCTTTTTACAATGGGTACCAACTATAGGAATGGAATCTCGCTGTGATTTTTCAGGAGAAACAAATGTCTCCCATTTTTGTTTCTTGTTTACAGAATACACATTGTGAAAACAAGATGGACTTGACCAGTGAAAAGTTGCCCAAGAATCCTTTTTATGCCTCGATAGCTCAGTATGCTGCTAAGCACCAAAAATTCTTCCAGTGGAAAAATGATAAACCTGGTATTTAATCTTCCTTTGGACAATACTTTTAATCTTCTCTTGGACACTTAATCTTCCCTTAGACAATGTTTATACTGAAATTTCATTGTTTATGGTAAAAAAAAAAAGCCAAGAAATTCATCTTATTGATTTTAAGGAGATGGTTGATTTTCTAGTTCTAGCTTTTCTGCAAGAATCTGTGAAATTGCTTCTTATTCTGGGAACAAATTATCAGTGGAGAAGTCTCCCAATTTGGTCTAGGTTCTAATATTACTTTCAGGATGTGACAAACATGCTCCTAGAAAGAGGTCATATGTCATTTTTGTTCAAGATAGAATATCCTGTTTTATTTGCCTTACTTGAAATGAAGGTATTTGAAGGTATTGTTAAATAGACTCAAAGAAATTAAACCAGAATGGTCAGCTTATTTGGTTAGAGCAGTTCTAATTAAGCTATAGGTTATGAATTTAACTCACCCACAGATCAGCTCTACCAAAAGAAAAACCAATCCCTGCACCTTGTTAGAAGTCCTATCTGGCAATGAAAAGGGGTTTGAAAAAATCAATCAATGAATATTTCTTGATTGTAAGTTTAGGTTTATGTCCTGTGATAATGCTTTTATTTAGGTCATCCTTTTCCCTTGAGCCGAAGAGGCCAGTTTTAGGAATAAAAAATTAGGGAATAAACTAATATTAGCAATGTGAGATGAGTTCTAATTATTTCAAGAGAGAATAGTCACATGAAATGGTTAATGGAATTTTTACCTTTTAAAATCAGATCATTATACCCATGCTATTTTGGTGGATAAAGCATTGCAGCTCTTGAAAGAAAGAATAAGAAGAGGGGATAGTCTGGCATATTTTCTAAGAGGTCAACTATATTTTGAAGAGGTATCTATTTTTTATTTCCATTCTCTATTAATCTTATTGTTAGTGACTCACTATTGGGGCATTACTCAATGATATTACTTGGCTAGTATGGCAACATCCTGGGTTCAAAATCCAAAAACATCTGTTATCAGATGTTCATATCAAAATTTCAAGAAGACTTCTTTTCATTATTACACCAAGGAAATTCTGTGAAATCAATTACATTATGGCTGTAGCTTTAAGAATGATATAGTGTTAACCATCTAAAGGAGATACCTGAATTTTCTTCATTAAGAACATATCATTTAAGGGAGTCATTTTAGTATCAAAATCAGTTTCTCAGAACAAATTTAGAGCATAATGTTTATAATTTCTTGATATTATCTATAAAATATCTTCATATAATAACAATTCAAGGCCTACCTTTTATCTAGTGCTAAAAGTAGCTTTATGTGTCCCTACAGAGTGTGAAGAGGCAATCCCCGCCACCCCCACCTCCACCCCCCTCCCTCCACACACAATCAATACTAGGGCTTGAATACAGGGTTTAGGCACTGTGCCTTACGTTTCTTTGTTCAAGGTTACCACTCTGTCACTTGAACCACAGATCCCCTTCTGACATTTTGCTGCTTAATTAGAAGAGTCTCACAGATTTTCCTGCCTGAGCTGGCTTTAAACCATTATCTTCAGATCTCAGCCTCCTGAGTAGCTAGGATTATAGCTGTGAGCCGCCTGCACCTGGCTAAGGTTACTTCCCTTTTAAACAACTTTCTATTGAGATGGCCTGGGAAGTAGACCTCAGAAAAGCTATGCAAGATATCAACTGGAGTTGAGTAAGATAGCTCTGATTCTCCACTGAACTTGAGAGAAAATCTGAGAGGAGATTGTCACAAACCCTCATGATTTCAAATTTAATATTTGGGCAGTTGTTCACCCATATCCCATTTTCCTGCTAATCTTTTGATGATGGCACCTTCACTTATCCTGGAGACAAGTTTTTGTTCATGAGTTAGTATGAACTTATCCCTCCTAGATGGCTAAGCGCATGACTTCCCACCTTTGGCCATTGGGTCCAGTATGATTGTGTTATTAACTTGTTAACTGTTCTTGGGCACAAATAACCTCTTGGTGCCTCAGTTTGGGATAACTTTTGGGCCATTATAAAACAATGAAGTGTTTCTTGGGGCTTGCAGGGATGGTATCAAGAAGCATTAGAACAGTTTGAAGAAATTGCGGAGAATGATCATCAAGCAACATACCAGCTAGGAGTAATGCATTATGATGGACTGGGGACTGCTCCAAATGCTGTAAGTTACTGTCTGATTCATAGTGCCCAAGATTTCATTGCCAGTGGATTATTTGATACAATAAAATTATGTTTTAAACCAGATGCTGGTGGCTCACTCCTATAAGCCTAGCTACTCAGAAGGCTGAGATCTGAGGATTGTGATTTGAAGCCAGCTCTGGCAGCAAAGTGCATGATATTGTCATCACAATTTAACCACCAAAAAAGAAAAAAAAAGCCAGAAGTGGAGCTGTGGCTCAAGTGGTGGAGGACTAACCTTGAGCACAATTATTCAGTGATAGCACCTCGGTTCTGAGTTTAAGCCCCTGGATTGGCACCATACACAACAAAATTATGCTTTAGTAATATATCTAATTTTGTATTTTTGTACTTAAGGCTATAGCATAAAGTACATTAATATCCATTTATACCTGAAACAAAATTGATTCCTTCTGTCCCCTGTCTTTTCTTTTTTTCCTTCACCAACTCTATCCTTAGCCTCCTAGCTTATCTCCAAAATCCTTCCAGATGCTTTTTGAAACTATCAAAAAGTAATGAGCCTGTCTCTATTGAATTTTTGTGCTTACTTTGAATGACTCACCTCCAATGCTAGAAAAATGCTTTATTTTTTCCATCAATTCTTTTACACTTAATAAAGTTGGGTTATTGTAAGTTGGGTTATTGTAAGGAATTGCCTCAACGTTGAATTGGCAATTATATTTTTGCTCACATGTTGAAAAAAATCTGTTAGTTTCTTGTTAATTGGCTATCATTTAGGTCAATTTGTCTGTTCTGGAAAATATTAACTCTACCACTGAGAGGTTCACTTTATTAAGGGACAGGGAAGGAAAGAGGCAATCCTTTTCTGAACATAGTTCTCATAAATAACAATAGAATCTTTGACACTATTTTATTTCTTCTAAACTTAATGATCTTAGAAGTTGAATTTGTATACACTGTGTAAGTATAACGATATCTGTAGATTTTTATTTTCTTGAGATACTAGGTTAGAAACAAATAGTGAGAAAATCAGATAAACTTGGATGACAAATTATATTGTCAATTTTCCATGAACTTTTTTTGAGTCTCATTCTGGTACATCTCTAATGTACCATGGAAATTGTTTCCTTCTTTCAGTAGTTATAAAAGTGTTTTAGAAACGGGCACTGGTGGCCCACGCCTGTAATCCTAGCTACCGAGGAGGCTGAGATCTGAGGATCACAGTTCAAAGCAAGTCCAGGCAGAAAAATCTATGAGACTCTTATCTCCAGTTAACCACTAGAAAACCGGAAGTGGTGCTGTGGCTCAAGCAGTAGAGCTGAAGAGCGCAGGGTTAGTGCCCAAGCCCAGAGTTCAAACCCCATTGCTCCAAATTCTACCACCATATGCAAATATTCATTATAAATACATAACTGATTGAGTCAGGTATTAAAGTCAGAAAGAACATTCAAAATCATTAGGCTGCCAGGTGCTGGTGGCTCTCGCCTGTAATCCTAGCTACTCAGGAGGCTGAGATCTGAGGATCATGGTTCAAAGCCAGCCCTGACTGGAAAGTCTGTGAGACTCTGAGCTCCAATAAGCCACTAGAAAGCCAGAAGTGGAGCTGTGGCTCAAGTGGTAGAACTCTCACCTTGAGCTGAAGAGCTCAGGGACAGTGCCCAGGCCCAGAGTCCAAGCTCCACAATTGACAAAAATAAAGTCATTAGGCTAAAAGTTTGCTTATCAATCATTTCTGCCTGATAAGAGGCTTGCCCTTCCTGGAGAATGGTCTCTGGCTTTACAATCTCCTATGACTAGTTCTACCCCAATCTGGAAGTACCCTCGGACTGTATTATACCCACACTATGCTTCTCATATAGCTGCAATGATAGGCATTCACCACCAAACCAAGATTTGTTGGTTGAGATGGGTTCTCAGTCAACTTTTCCTGGGCTAGCCTAAAACCACAGTCTTCCTAATCTCTACCTACCTTTCAAGTAGCTGGGGCATAAGCATATGCCACCAAGATGCACTTTCATTATTTCTATCTTTCTTTAACTCCAGCCCTGAAAATATAGAACAATTACCCTTCGGCATAGATTTATTTTACACGTCGTGTCAAAATACAGTTGAAGTAAAACTAAAAATCAGGGGATTTTTTTGTTTGTTCTTTTACTTTGTGGAAGGAAAAAGGAGTGGAATGTATGAAGAAAATTCTTGAATCCCCATGTCCCAAAACAGGACACTTAAAATTTGCTGCTGCTTACAATCTTGGAAGAGCTTACTTTGAAGGAAGAGGTGTTAAACGATCAGAAGAAGAAGCTGAAAGGTGATTCTACCTGAAAACAAAATTTTGTTTTCACAAAATGCTAAAGCAAAGAGTAACTTGCCTTGTTTCTCTTTTAGACTGTGGCTTTTTGCTGCAGACAATGGAAATCCAAAAGCTAGTGTGAAAGCTCAAAGTACCCTCGGACTGTATTATTCAACAAAGGAACCAAAAGATTTAAAGAAGGTATTATTTCCCTTTCTTCTTATCGACTGATTTGGTCCCTACCTATACTGAAGAAAACTATGATGTGAGAATATTGTGAGTGCTATAAAAAGTTATACAGTGTATTATATTATAAAAGCTGGAAAAAAAGAGGGACAGTCCTGACACTAAGGCTCAGATCCTCCTAAAGTATGAATAAAATAATACTGCCTTAGACTTGAGGAATGATCCTATAAGTTAAACATACAAAGAATTAAAATTAAAGGGGGTTTGATGTGGAGAGGAAACACATGGGCACTTTTGTGGGGGGATGGCTATTAGAGGGAACAGTCTAATGAGAGTAGAAGAGGATGAGTATGGTTGAAATAGATTGATATAGTCTGTTGGCATATATGAAAATAGAACGATGAAACTAGTTCAAATTTTATTGGGAGTGGAATAAGAGAACATGGAGGGGATTAGTTGAAATACATTGTGTGTGTATGTGTGTAGAAACTTACAGTGACCTTCCCCCTTGTTAATGACAACGTTGTGCTCTTTCTTAGGCATTTTACTGGCATTCAGAAGCGTGCGGCAATGGAAATCTGGAATCCCAGGGTGCACTTGGTCTCATGTACTTTTATGGTCAAGGCATCCCCCAGAACACTGAAGTTGCCCTGAACTGCTTACGAGAAGCAGCAGAGCGTGGGAATGTCTATGCCCAAGGGATTTTGGTGGAGTATTACTACAAGATGAAATTTTTTACAAAGTGTGTTACGTTTTCCAAAAGGTGATTGTCTTAGTCCATTTTATGTTGTTTAAGTAGCAATACACGGCTCACAGCTGCCATACTTGGTAACACAGTTCTATGCCATTAATGCAGGATTTCAGTGCTGTAGCTGAAACAAATTTAACTTTTTAAAACATCAACTGCTTAATTTGTAAGAAAATCCCTTTACAGCAGGAATATAGCAAAATGTATATAAAGTACTTACAGAGAAAATTTTTGTGTGTATGTGTGTGGTGGTACGGAGGCTTGACTCAGAGCTTAGCAGGCGCTCTGCTGTTTTAGCCATACATACAACCCTTTTGGCTCTGATTACTCTCATTTTTGCCAGGGCCAGCTTGAATTCTTCCTAGTTGTGATTTCCATTGTAGTTGGAATGAGAGATGCACACCACCATGCCCAGCTTTCTCTGTTGAGATGGGGGCTTGAAAAAATTTTGCCAGCTTACTAGAACCATGATCCCTCCTGCGGCCTCCTGAAATGTCAGGGTAGTTACTGAGAGTTAAATCATTTTTGGATTTGTCTGTCTGGGTTGGCTTCAAAGAAAGAGCCTCACATCTCAGCCTCTTGAGTTGCTAGGATTTAAGCACTTGCACCCAGCTTTCATTGCTCATTTCTAAAGCATTTTTGTGCTAGTTTCTTAAGTGTTTTCTGGTCCATGTGGCCATTATCCAGATTTAAGTTTCCATGGGTTTCTTAATTTTGAATTTTAATGTCCTGTCAGGATTGCCGACTACGACGAAGTTCACGAGATCCCCATGATAGCTCAGGTCACCGACTGTCTCCCCGAGTTCATCAAGAGAGGCATGGCCCTGGCGTCTTTCTATTATGCTCGGTGTCTTCAGCTTGGCTTAGGCATCACAAAAGATGAAGTGACAGCTAAACTCTATTTCTCCAAAGTAAGCTCTAGAACCAAATACAAATTACTCAATAGAAAGGCTGGGTTTTTCATTAAGACTTAACTTCATGGATTATTGTTTTTGTCTTTGGGAATCATTATGCAGATAGCCTGTCTAGTAAAAGATGTTCTAAGACTTACAGATGGCTTTCACACAACCCTGATAGGTTATTAGCATTCTTTAAAAAGGACAAAAATAAAAACAAAATCCTCAAACCTATGCCAAACCAAAAATCCTGTGCTGATTTAGAGCCATGACATTCTGGAGTGTAAATTAACATTATGCCATTAGATTTTGTAAGGCAACTTGTGTACAGCACCAATTGTTGAGCTTGAGCAGAGGAAGAATTTTCTTAGTCTGAGGTCTGACATGATTGTAGTGATTCCAAAACGTGTCTGTGCTGAAGGCTTCATTCCAAAGCTGTGAAGAACTGGGGACCAGCAGAAAGTGAGGACCACGCTCTCTTAATAGATTTTAATGTACAGGCAAGTTTGGGAACACTGATTGTGCTTGGAATTAAAACTTTCAGGGCTGGGAAGGTGGCTCGGTAGAGCGCATGCCTTGCATGTCAGAGGCCCTGGGTTCGATTCCTCAGCACCACATAAGCAAAAAGAAAAAAGCCGGAAGTGGCACTGTGGCTCAAGTGGTAGAGCACTAGCCTTGAGCTGAAGAGCTGAGGGACGGCGCCCAGACCCAGAGTTCAGGCCCCATGACCAGACCCCCCCCCAAAAAATAAAAATAAAATAAATAAAACTTTCAAAGTATCAACACATCTGGTAACCACAGAAATATAGAAACAGTACACAAAACTAACCTGTGGGATACTTATCACTACCCTATTCTTCTGAGAAGTATATATGTTTAAAAAGTCATCTTTGTTAATGTTTAGAAAGTCTAAATGGTAATATGGTAACAGTTTCAAACCAAGTCAAGTTCAGGTTCAACCTATCCTATGATCCCCACTTTCTAAATAAACAAAGGCAAAGAAAAATCTGGGTAAGAAATAGCTTGAAATTTGTTATATACAGCCTGAAAAGCAGTACAACAGACTACAATGACAGCAATATTTCCCATATAATAATCCTCTATAACTCATAGATGATGACAAGTCATTCCTCAGCTCTCGTAAGACATCTAGAATACAGTATTCACTAGGGGATGCTGCTAAAATGGGGAACATTCCCCAGCATTCAGAGTCCGGAATAAGCATATAGGAGGCATGAGAAGAGAAACGGAGAATGTTTCAGAGTGAAACGTGACAAGGTTCTGAGAGCGAGCTTCACCATATGGATTAGCATGTATAGAGAAGTAAATGTGGGGTCAGGAGCAGCACCAGAGCCAACGAAGGTGTTACAATAAGGTACTGCCACTATCAGGCTGGGTGACTCTGCCAACTGCTTTGCTTCTTAGGGTTTTGAAGGATTTTGTAATTCCCAGGACCTTTCAATGGTTCTAAAGTACAGGAAATTTCAGCTGAATGTAAGGAGGACTCTAATTCAGCAGTTTAGAAAACAAAAACAAAAGCTTTCTCCTTAATGACTTTCTACCAGGAGGCAACAACCAAGCAAATATCTGGTGACTGTTTTGAGCACTGAACAATTTCTGCAAAGAATAGGGTTTGTGCCAGATAATCTCTGACATCTGTGAAATGCTTGATATTTGAGAAATCGCATCACTATTTAAAGTAAAACTGCATTTGAAAATAAGACCCTTAGATTTTGCCATTCAATGAACTATAACAACCTTGAGGCAAAAGTAAACACTATTTTACTTATTCTTGCCCTTGATCAAGTTTCATCTCTTTCAAAATATCAATGATATTTTGACTATAACCTGCTTCACATAGGTAATTTGAAAGCTCATATATTAAGTAGGAAATCAAAATAGAAAGAAAGCAATTCCTTGCAGGAGGGAACATAGCTCAGAGATAGAGTACTTGCCTAGCAAGAAGGTACTTGCCTAGCAGGAAGGTACTAGGTTCAATCCTTAGCATTACAACACCCTCCACTATATTACTGTACTATTCTTAAAACAACATAAAAAAGCAAAATTAAAAAGAAATAAAAAAGACACAAGTAACTCTCTTCTCTCTTTGCTTTTAAAGGCTTGTCGTCTGAATCCTACATTGGCAGATAAACTTCATGCATTACTTATTTGTCAAAGAATTTAGACTACAACGAATTTCAATCCAGATCAGCATTCTAACATCATATATTGTGTGCACTTTTATAGCAGCTATGTTTGTTATTTTCTGCATCCAAAGTTACACTGTTTGGGGTATTTGATAGATGATTTGTTACCTTCATTCTCGAATTTGTACGCTATAATTCTTGCAACCTGGAACTTAGCCACAGAATATTTCTGGAAGAGTCCTGAGTGGCCTAGATAGTAGTAAATTTGAAACCGTTCCATAAAGTATCTTTTTGCTTTCCTAAATACAGTGTCTTGAATGACTCAGTGCGGTTTCAGTTTAATAAGTTCTGAAACAAACACTGAAAACTTATTTAAAGGTTATCACTTAAAAGTTGAATTCTTCACATTTTCTCTGGCACTTATATGAATGTCCATTGTTTTTTGTTCCAGTCACTTAATTTTTTCACAAAAATAAGGACCAAAGAAATGTACAGAATTAGGCTTTCAAACAATATTTCTGATAATCATCTCTGTAAGCAGTTCTTGTTAAAAGTTAATTGATTATTAACATGAAAAGTGGTTTAAAAGCCAGGTGCCAGTGGTTCATGCCTATTATCCTAGCTACTCAAGAGGCTAAGATCTGAGGTTTGCTGTTCAAAACCAGCCTGGGCAGAAAAGTCCATGAGACTCTATGTTCAATAAACTACTCAGAAAAAATCAGAAGTGACACTGTGGCTCAAGTGGCAGAGTGCTAGCCTTGAGCACAAAGAAGCTCATAGACAGTGTCCAGTCTCAGAGTTCAAGCTCCAGGACCAGCAAAAAAAAAAAAAAGGAAGGGGGAAGGGGATTAAGAAATTGCTTAGAATCATATCTCTCCCATCTTTCCAAGTCTTCCACAGAAAAGCCACTTACTATGAATTAACACAAAATGTTTTTCCTTATTTTCCTTTGCTTTACTTCATTTTCTACATTTTAGGATAAAGATGAAAAAAATTCAGATTTAAACCATCTCATATGAAAAGTCTATCTTGACAGACATAGAACACTATCACTTAAATGCATAAAATTGTAAAGCAATCATGTATCTGTGAGTTACATATATAAACATATTAAAGATAATGTAACATCTTCTTGTCAATACATTTTCTCAATTAAACTGAAACAGGTTTTTATACATCAAAATACTCTTTCCAGTAGATTTTAAACAGGATCTCTTTTAGAGTTGGGGGAAAAAGCAGTTAATATATGTGATGTCACTGCAACTGGTGCATAGCAGAAAACTACCTGATCTTGTTTTAATTTCATGGACTGTTTTGGCTTAATTTGTCTTTTATAAAAAGGGAAGAAGTTTCAATACAGGGATGTGAGATAGCCTCAAGTATATACTTCTGACACCTAAAAAATATTAGCCTGAACAAGTCCCTTGCTTCTAAAATTACTAGTTGAACACTACATTATTCTCTATTACTATTAAGTGTCCCCAAACAATACAATGTTGTATAATACGAATCTAATTTCTGTCCATAAACTTGCTTTGCTCTAGTCTGAATACCATTGTTGTAATATTCTTCAGGTATTTGAAATCCAGATTTTGCAGTTCCAAAAGCTTTCCTTTTAGAATGCAAACAAAGGAACACACGGGGCTGGGAAGGTGGCTCAGTGGTAGAGCGCTTGCCTTGCATGCATGAGGCCCTGTGTTTGATTCCTCAGCACCACATAAGAAGAAAAAAAAAAAGCTGGAAGTAGTGCTGTGGCTTAAGTGGTAGAGCACTAGCCTTGAGCTGAAGAGCCGAGGGACAGCAATCAGGCCCAGAGTTCAGGCCCCACAACCAGACCCCCCCCCTCAAAAAAAAGAACACAGTATTTTCATTGTTGTTTTAGATAAAGTTTCTTGCTGTGTTGCCCAAGCTGGTCTCAAGCTCCGTAGTCTCCTGAGTAGCTAGGGCAGGAATGAACCAATGCTCCCAGATACAAGAGAACATAGTAACAGAGTAATGATGACATTAGTGACACATTTAATGGATCTGCTAATCTTCATCCCAAAGTAAAGACCACTTTTTAAACTGCCATAAAAATACATGTTTCAGGATTGGGAATGTAGTCCAATGGTAAAATGGCTTGCTTAGCATGAGTAAGGCCCAGAGCTTGATCTCTTAACACTTGGAAAACAGAACAAAGTATACATTAGAGAAATCCTAAACATTAAGAATCTGATGCATATGTGGTACTATGCCATCCCTATATGTGAACCCAACTTGGAATTTAGAATTTCAGTTCACTGTACTTAACAAAAGTGATGATCTGGGACCTGCAAATCACTACCTTAACCTCTAAGTGCCATCTGTCTTTAACTCAAGTTAGCTGAGGCTTCCAGATTGTTTTAAAAACTCCTGTAATATTCATTATAGTTACTAACTCATAAAAATGAGAATTTATTATTAAGAAATACTGAGGAGTCAGATACTTTCCCTCACATAAATTAACAGCAAGAATTGAAGTGACAGAATGGAGGTATGCAGAAGACAGACATTTCCAGTAACTGTTATGGTAAGTATTTTAGGCTTGGCACCTTCAAATTTTTTAGCTACACTAAATGCATTTTAAGTAGTATTTTCAATATCGCTTTGAAGGGACAATACAAAATAACCAACCTTGGGTTTTTCTGAAGTCTCAAATATCTTGGTTTGAAAAAGGATCAAAAAGTCACTAGAAGAATCTCAAAGATGAAATTTGGTGTACTAGTTTTTAATACTAATTCAGAATTTATCAAAAATTTATCAGGTATGAGCTATCAATAAGCTATATACCACTTGAATATGGTCAGTAATTTTCTTTTATATCAAATAAATTTTAAATTTTAATTGTTCTGTTTTCACTACTTTGGGGAGCTAGTGAAGTTATATCACTGCTCAGGAAATGGTAAAGCCCCAGTAAACTGATTAAGTGACTTGTCCATGGCCCCACCATCAAAAACAAAACTTCTGTATTCTGGGCCTCACCAATGCCCCTCAAGGTAAGACTTAATGACATAATCAAGTCTACAAAGTCTCTGAAGTAACATCCCTCCTCTATTTTCCTGACCTTCCTTCAAGGTTCAGTTCACCTCATTTTAGCACTAATTTGGCTCTTTTCATAAATAAAACACATGTATTTCATATATGTATGCATGCCTGAACAAAGAAGTACTTTCTTGCAGAAGTTCTTTAGTGGACTGTGTTTTCTACAAAGAACTCAATATTTTGATGAACTTTGCCTTTGTAAAGAATCACACTGAGTTCTCCCTTGAATCTACCATATTTCAATATATTTGTATATACTTGCATACAACCCAATGTATTATAAGTTTATAAGCTAATTCTGGTTCCACATATAAGGGAAAACAGGCATCCTTTGTTTCTCTGAGCCTGTCTTACTTCACTTAAGATAATTTTTCCCAGTCTTCCCATTTCTTTACAAATGGTACATTATTCTTTCTAATGAATGAGTAAAATTCTATTGTTTGTATATCACATTTTCTTGATCCATTTGTCGGTTGAGGGGCATCTGAGCTCATTCCATAAGCTTGGTTATGGCGAACAGTGCTGTAAAGAACATGGTTGTGCTGGTGGCTTTCCTGTATCCTGGTTTATAATCTTTAAGATAAATGACCAAGAATGGAAATGATGGACCTCCATACTGTGGTTGAGCAAGTTTACATCTGCACCAACAGTGATAAAATAGGGTTCTATTTTGGCTGCATCCTCATCAACATCTGTTATTGTTTTCTTCATAATGGTGGAATTTCAATGTTGTTTTGATTTGCATTTTACTTATGGCCAGAGCAGAAATCAAATCAAGTACTTGAAAGGGGTGGGGTGGGAAAGGGATGGATAAATTGAAGAGAGAAAAGGGGAAGAATACAGTCAACAATTCAATGTATAATCCTATAAAATTAAAATGAGTGAGGAAAGGGGTAGCTAGGGGAGGGATGAGTGGGAATTTTAAAAAGGTGACACTGCTTTGTTAAATGGCGACACCTCTGTACAACTACCTACAGATAATAAAAAATATTTTGAATTGCTTGAATTATTTCAACTCTTTTTGAGATAAAAACATCTTTAATATTGAGCACTATAATTCATTTTTATATTTTATTGCTTCAAATGCTTCAAACTATGGTAAATCTTTGGTAAAAATAAAGACAATAAAATTTTCACAGTAACTTTACACAAAGCATTGCACAACAATGTTTCTCATACACATGAAATAACACAGGAATGTCTAGAATCCTCAGTGAGGAAATCAACTGTACAATATTCATAGTTCTTCATTTTAAAACAAAACTGATTTCCATAAATATTTAAAATATGTCCTAGATTCTTATCACCTATTAACATTTGTATTTCAACCAGCATGTTGAACTTTAAAGTATTTATAGTATTTAAATAAAATCAATAAACAATTTTGTTGTTGTGGCCTACTACAGTATCCAGTCTCCCTCCCCGCCCCTCAATTTTGCTTGTTTTACATGAAATTAGAGGGGGGATCTAAAATAAAAATAAAAATTGCTATGGTTCTCAGTCAGGCCCTCTGTGGAAAAGAGGAAAATGTTTCATGTCTATTATTACACAGACATTTCTCTGGTGGCTGAATTGTGCAGTCTCAGACTTGACCAGCCTTGAATTGATCTAAGTGAGTTCTTAGCTCAGGACACAGTTCAATTAGCAGCAGCTCCATCAGCACCTGCACCAAGAAAGAAGAAAAAGAAGGATGAGGGTTCCTCCAAGAGTTTGCTCAAAGATCCTCTATTAGTTCCAAAATTACTCTTAGTACACAAGGGACTCTTACATAAAAGGAACTGAACCTATATAAACTCAGTTTATTTCATAGCCTAACCACTGTCATGCCGTCCATACTATTTAATATTGGTAACTCTAATCAGATGACAGAGGAAGTGGAGGTGGAGCTCAAGTGGTAAGAGAGTGCTAGCCTTGAATAAAAAAGTCAAGTGAGAGTGAGACCTTCAGTTTAAGCCCCAGTGTCAGCACAAAAAAGAAGAAATAAAGATGAATGGCAAACAGAATATGTTATAAGCTAAAACTAAGCAATCATTGGAAATTTGCATCAGAGTAGAGAGAGGAGATATGAGGATGATCGTGCTGTTCACACTGTGGTATTTTGTTTTTTTTCTAATTAAAGAACAGACAAAAAAATGAGGCAAGGAAAATAGATATAGCATTGTCACAGTAATTAAGAATGTAGGGGACAGGCACCGGTGGCTCATGCCTATAATCCTAGCTACTCAGGAGGCTGAGATCTGAGGATGGCAGTTTAAAGCCAGCCCTGACAAAAAAGTCCATGAGACTCTCATCCCCAACAAAAACTACTCAGAAAGAGCTGGAAGTAGCACTGCTAGCTTTGAGCACAAAGAGGCTCAGGGACAATGCCCAGGGCATAAGTTCAAGCCTAGGACTAGCAAAATAAATAAAAGGATTAACATTTACCCATATTTGAACAGAAACATAAAATCCAAGAAATAATTATCTGATAGGCTTTGATTTACTCACATATAATAGATGCTTGTTAGCTCTTCTTTCTTGAAGTGCCTTGAATATTTTTATTATACCATGGCGGGCATTCTGCTGTCCAACAAGGCTTTGAAGTGTATCTGTAAAATTAACACTTCTGTTTTTTGGTGCATTGTTGAAAAGTGAATTCTATCACTAAGCCACATACCCAGCACTGAAAACCATCAAGGTTGTGTCTGAAGTGGCTACTGACAAAATGCAGTGTGCATTCAGTGGGAGATGTCTTCAGATACATATATAGTTCACAAAAGCACCAGTTAGTACTAACGTGGCAAAAGTGTGAGTGGTCAGTTCTTGCAAATGTTTAAAATAATGTCCATTTAGAAATTTTCAACATAAGGTTTTGATAAAAAAACAATTACTATTGCTATTACTAGTTTACAAAATGTATGCATTTTGCATTGCATAGTAGCCTGATCTCTAAAGCACATTTATTATTAGCATATTTCTGTATACATTCTTAAGATTCTCAGTATAACTTCTTAGTAAGAAACGGCTTTAACAGAAAAGCCTGATGTTTAAAATTGTAAGTAATGTTTCCTGAGAGACAGAAATGAAAATATTTTCACAGTGCTGCCACTTCCTTCTTATTGCTGCATCCCCTGGTAGCCAGCCAGCCTCACCTGGAATGTTTTCAAGTAGCTTTTGCTGCGCCTTCTGTTTTGTTTCCTGACTTCCTGCATCACTTCTAATTGCAGATGGTGCTGCCAATTTCCCATTTGGCCAAAAAGCATCCCGGAAAACACCGATGTAGTAAACCAACATTTGCTCACTGAAAATCCAGTTCACTGTATCCCGGATTTGTCTTGTAAGAGGAAAAATTTTGCTTAGATGAGGTTTTTCAAAAAGTGTGTACTCTGTTTTGAAAAGGTATGCATTCAAGGGTAGGTGAAGATGCAACCTGATCGAAATGGTTGATAAATACAACTAGAAATGGAATTTTCCAACTCTGGCTATAAAAGCTTTTTTCTCATTTTTGTGGTTCATGTTTTCATTGGCACCAACCTCTCCAAATGTTTGCCCTGAAGTTCCAGTCTGTATGACAAGAACCAAGAGACTGATTTGTTTAAGCTTGTAACTGCCCTAATTAATTTATCTATGAAGCATTATAACCTGAAATATAAATCCACTTCTTCCTTTTTGGGGTTTGAACTCAGGTGACATATTTTCTAGGCAGGCAATCTATCCCTTGGGTTACACTTCCAGGCATTTTCTACACTGCTTACTTTTAAATAGGGTCTTACTTACTGTCTTGAGTACACACCTAGACTATAATCTACCTATTTTAGGCTTCCCATCATGGCTGGGATGACAAGAGTGTGCCACTTCTCTAGTTTCTTCTGTTGAAATGGAGTCTTGCAAACTTCCCTATGCCCAGGCTGGTCTGGAATCACCATCCTCTGATTTGAGCCTTCCATGTAGCTAAGAAAAGAGATGTGTACTCCTGTGCCCAGTTATGGGTTGAGAAGGGAGTCATGTGAATTTTTATGCCTGGCTAGTATAGTACTAGCTAGACAATTTCAAATATACATGGGAATGAAAATTGGCAAGTATTTTATTTGCAGTTATGCATAAATGGATTTTATCTAGTTACTAAAGTCTTTTATACAATCCTATTAGTTGGTCAAATTTTAATCAGTTCCACTACCAAGAGACAAGTAAACAAATGAATTTGGAAGGAGGAAGCCTTTCTGTTCAAAATGAGAAAAGAATTTAGACTGTTAATGCCAGAAAGACCTAAAGCTTCAAATTTTTATAATAAATTTATAATAATAAAAAATTCTTTAAAGAATCTGACTTCCAACCAAACTTTTAAATAGGATAATTATAAGAGTTTCAGAAATGACTCCAAAACCAGTATTTCAAACCTAGTACTTTGCACATCTTAGCAGTCTCTTTTGAATGAGTATTTAAACTCTACTGAGTCAAGCTGTAATATTAATTCTGTTTTAATATTGTTTCCTACGATACTTCTTTATGTTGCTTAGAACTCTACAATTCAAGCCTAGACCAAATAGAGCCATTCTATTAGTTTAGTGGAATTTCTGTGCTTTTTTATATAATCAAATTTTATTGAACGCCACCCAGAGTATATTACTGTTTATGGCTGTTTTGGCTACATAGAGTTGATAGCTGAGTTTGTTTTTTTTTTTGGATCTGGTCATGAGGCCTGAACTCTGGGCCTGGGCATTGTCCCTCAGCTCTTCAGCTCAAGGCTAGCACTCTACCACTTGAGCCACAGCGCCACTTCCGGCTTTTTTTTTTCTGCTTATGTGGTGCTGAGGAATCGAACCCAGAGCCTCATGCATGCAAGGCAAGCGCTCTACCACTGAGCTACCTTCCCAGCCCGATAGCTGAGTTTTTTGATAGCTGTGCTGCCACAAGGATTTTGAATTTAAGAGAACACCTGCTGACCTGCTTTCTTTTTTTGGTCAGTCATGGGGGCTGAACTCTGGGCTTGGGCACTGTCCCTCAGCTCCAGCTCAAGGCTAGCGCCCTACCACTTGAGCCACAGAGCTACTTCTGGCTTTTTTCTGCATATTTGGTGCTGAGGAATCAAACCCAGGGCCTCATGCATGCGAGGCAAGCACTGTACCACTGAGCCAACTTCTCAACCCTGACCTGCCTTCTTAATTATCTTTTAAGAAAAAGCCATATCATAGCAACATCATGGTTCTCTCTGTAGTCTTTGCTTTGAGTTAACCATGGTACTCCAAGAAGTGAAAGAACAGAATTTCACTCTATGATTTAAAATCAGGTAACTCTTACTTTCCAGAAGTTATCATCTAAATAGATTCTATCAGCCAAAGCCTGTAGGAAGGTATGTGAGACTCTAATTATTCCAGACCAAAGGCCTATGCTGCTTAATGTTATATCATCATCTGCTAAAGGCAAAAATAACAAAGTACCAGGTGCTCCAAAACTCTCCACCTGATAATGAAAAGACTAAAAATTCTCTAAACCTTCTCTCCATTTCCATGAAAACAACATGCAAAGTAACTTCATCACTCATAAACCACAGCTGCTCATTTTACAAGTAGAAGTCAATATCATAAAAAGGAACAAGAAATATATTCCTGATTTTCTGAAACTGACAAGAAAAACAAATAAGCAACACTGAGGAAAAGAAGGTCATTTTGGAAATTTTCTACTAAGGCCCATCAATACTGAAGTTTGCCTAAGGTGGAAATAAGTTAAACATACTATTTTTATGGTAAAACAAAATACCAAGGCAACTAAACAATCCTCTGATGGACAACTAAAACTATTTTCATTATAATTCTAGTGTTATTTCTCTTTTGGAAAGTGTCACCCCTTCTTTCGCTTTCCCTACTTTCCTCTTCCTCTTCCTGCCCACAAGTTACATATACAACTTTTTTTTTCAATCTTAGAAATTTGGTTATGACCACAAGGAAAATATAATCTATTTGTAAATTAATATAAAGAATAACACATTTTCTTTATAATTCCTATATAATTTATAAATTTTATATAGTACAATAAGAGAATCATTGGCTATTATTCCTAAAGTATTTGATTGTCATGTATTCAAACACTGATTTTGTGTAACTTACTTGTTGATGGTTCTTCCAAATGTGACCTGAACGAGAGCAATTAATGTTCTTCTCACCCACTTAAACACTGAAATGTAAATCAGAGAAAAAATTTATCACAGAATAGCACAATTATGAAGATTTTATAGCTGTACAAAACATAAATTTTATCACTTAATTCAGTCTGGGTCCTGACATCAATTAAAATTTGCTTTTTACAGAATTTGGGTTTTAATAGACACAGTTCTGCTCAGGAAAATTCCTCAGACCAAGTTTTCATTTTATTACTAAGCAACTGATGAGATGAAATCTAAGAGGGCACCCCCCAACCCAACTTCCAGTCCAGGGTCTACAGAACAGCTGTGCTAGCATGTGAAAATAATATTTCACTTTCTACGTCCCTAGGCTACTGACAACATGCCTGTTTCCCACTAGCAGACAGTAGAGTTCTAAATTTAGATTTCTGTCTGGCTTGCTGAACCCAATTTTCTAATGCACAATTCTGAATGAGAAACATCTATAGTCAAATATTGTAGACAAATATTGTCGAATATTGTAAAGTGGCATGTCTAACTATTCCCATTTGAATAGTAGCCTGTAGAACATTATGTACTTCTACACTTTATGTATTTGGGGTAAGAAAGGAAATCCTCAGCCAGAACTGTGAATGGGATCTGAATTCCACAATCTCCAGCATCACTTTCTATAGCAGGCAGTCAGACACTTGTCAGAACCTCAGATTTTTCATCTGGAAAAGGATGAGATTAACATGGGCTTTATTTTTCCCCCTCTGAGGGTCTTCTGTGTGAGAGGGGCTCTACAGATCCCAATTTTTATTATTGATAAGAGGATATATTTTGTAGGTCCATAATATGAACATAAACTACAAAAGGTAAAAAAGCTATGATTTCATAAAATTTCATCTCCAGCTCCTGAAATGCTTATCTAGTAACATATGAGGAAAAGAGAAATTCAGACTTGGCTATAATCGAGACAAAAATTCAAGCCTCATGCATTCATCAAGAAAACCTAAAAGGAGCAAATTCACAAAGATCTTTTCATTGGACCAGCCACAGAAATAAAGGTCAAGAACATAACTGTAACCTCCCTCTATTTCACCTTTATAATAACAATTTTAAAAAAGAGAAAAAAGAGATCGACAAAGAATAGACCTATTACTAGATAAAGATATCCAAAGCCATTTCTAATTTTAAAAAATTATTTTTAAGTGTTTGAACAAAAGAGTTACCTTTAAGAAAGCAGCTTATAATTACAATATACCTTGATTTAAATGCCCAGTTAAGCTACTATTAATCCTCCAAATTAACAGTCAATCCTTAGAATCAGATCCATGCCTCAAAACTGCCTTGAACTCTTAAGATGGAATTTGCTGGAATACTGTCGAGTATGTAGACATGTTTATTTTAGGCCCTCTTTTAGGCTGGATTAGCATGTCCGTTATGATAACTTTTCTGTCTTTCTGGGACAAGAAAGTAGCTCATACACAGAGGGCTTGAGGACAAAAGCAACTTCTAGGAGACTGACAGCTAAGCAGGTACAAAACAAAACAAAATGCTGCTCCTGAGTCATTTTTCTACACTGACCTTGAGCGGAACCCCAACTCATTTTATTACACATACTCTCTCATCACTGATAACCCCCTACTCTAATTTTTCCATGCCTTCAGGATCTCTCCCTCACAAAATAGGCCTATTCCTCCTTTCTCATTTGTTCAAAGCCACAGATGCAGCTGCAGCAGCATGAAGATTTTGCTGATGGCAAATATATCACATCTCATTATAAAAGATGTTCTATTTATTCCCCTTTGAAATGTCCCTGGAGAATCAAACATGCTTCTGAACAGGCATTCCATGGAAGACATGCACACTGTGAGGACATAATTTTGAGCTCTATTCTGGCTGCTGTCTGGCTCTGGCACATCTACCAGGTCTCTTAATCTTTCTGTATTTATGGAAAGGGGCACGCCAGCCAAGGCTAGAATAGTGCATCCTTCATGTTTAACAGCACAAGAGACACTGGGAGAATTCATGATTTCAGGGGCCAGCTTTCTTTGAGGAAGACACAAATCTTAGGTGGAAAACTCTGTTTCTCTTCTTACATTAAATTAATAGTGTATATAGCTTTCAAAGTCCAAATATGGAAATGCCACAGATTTTTCAAATGAAAGAATCTTTAATATTTGTATGATATTCTACCACATGGATACTTCTAAAATAACTATTTCCCACTCCTAAAGTTTAAGTTTATCTTAGTTCTAACTTTCATTATTGAAATTATGCTAAAATTATGAAATTATGCTAAAATGAACTTCCATATATATATATATATATATATATATATATATATATATAGCTGCCTTCAGTGCAGAATGCAATACATTGATTGCTTAATGTCAATTATGCTTTTGGATTCTTTCAATGCTAATTTATAGAAAGAAAAATCCATATCGATTTTTGTTTCCCTACAAAGTATTATATAAAACATATATATCCAAAGTGATGATGATTGAAATTATGTATTTTCTTAGTTTTGGCTTTGATGAAAAGGTTCAATGAACAAAGTTTGTTAATTCTGGCACTTGAAATTCTCATCTGTTTACTTATCAATGTAGCCATCTTATTGATGTATCCATTTTATTGATCACCCACTCAAGATCAGGTGCACTGTAAAAGACGCTGAAGATTAAAATACATAGAAGATATGTTTAGGATTATACTAGCACTTTTTCTTCTGTTAATAATTTTTCACATATCTAAATTACATGTTAGGGGATTTATAAGTGTGAAAGATATTCAGCTTCATTTTCTATGTAAGACCACTCTTTGCCTACCATATTTCCCCTCAAGAGACAAGGATGCTTAACTGAGTAGGGGAAGCTAGGATAATCATAGGTGAACATTTTATTAGTGGGTGACATCAATGTGTCTCATATACTCTTGCTCTTTTCCTTTGCTTCCTCTTTTAAGTGGTTAGAAGGTATGTAGGCACATGCCATATCTCCAGCTAGTACTGAATCTCCAGGCATCACCAAGTAGACAGGTTTTATAAGTGTGAGTGTTCCAGAGCTGTGAACAGGTGAGCAGAGAGTACTAAGTTCTATTCAGGACTCAAGACTAAGGCATGTAGTTTACCTTTCACCAAAACACTGTTCTGGGGCAGGCACTCATGTAACTCTTAAGAAAAGAGTATTTTGATCCCGAGCTTGTGAATGGTCTTTTAGGAAGCTCTAGGGCAGGATTTCTCAGCCCAGCACTGTCACTGTGGCTAGCTAGGTAACTCTTGTGGGTGCTATAGTGAGCATTGTAGCATGTTTTTCAGTGTCACCCACCTCCCTCTACCTAGAATCACTGCTCCAGAGGAATGAGAATGAAAAATGGGATAAAGGCTTTTCTACCATCCCTGGCCATAATGCTATCCTGGCAACAAAACTATACCTTTAAACAAGAAGATTCTCCCTCTGTTAGGAACATACAAAATACCTTTTTTATGTTGGATCCCATAAAAGAAATGAACTGCATTTTATCCTTTTGTATTGAGAAGATACTATAGGAACAAATCAGGATCAAACTTGGGAATACAGAGTTGCTGTCTATTTTAAGTGTCTTCAGCACTAACATGAAGCTCAAAGAATACCTTCATCATCTGGTTGGTCCTTCAGACTATTTGCTAAATGAATGAATGCATGAACATAAATACATATCTGATGAATTTTAGGAATAAAGCAAAATTAACTGAGCTTCACTTACCCAGGCAATACTATTAAACAATAACAAAAATAACAAGCTTACTTCCTCGAAGTTCAAAAATCTCTCCAATCAGCATGAAACATGGTTCAGCCAAGGAGTCTTTCTTCCCATCCACATCATCACCATAATCTGACAGGTCACTGTCTTCCTCTATCTCTTCCTGGGGATATGACAAGTAATAGGATACAGGTCACTTATCCATGGAAATCATAGCTGTTTTCCTTCTTCAAATATAAAATAGTTGCTCTTATTTTAGCCTTACATAATTCCTCAATGTTTATGCAGAGATCCATCCTTTTTCAATGTGGAAGACAAAGTGCTTTTTCTGAAGAAAATGTTTTATTCTTAAAGCCTCATTCAAAGTTTAATAAAACAAGTTAATAAAAAAAAAACTCTCTACCCCTGGACTAAAATTTCAATTAGTAGATAGGACACTTTTCTAAAAATTATAGAAAAGTATTAAGCTTTTCACACAAATGATTTTGAGTTCATAAACTACTCTTTTTTATATAAATATGTGTATTTTAAAGTCATACACTTTTTGTTTTGTTTGGTTTTTTTTTGTCGGTCTTGGGGCTTGAACTCTAGGTCTGGGCGCTCTCCCTGAGTTCTTCAGCTCAAGGCTAACGCTCAACCACTTGAGCCACAGTGCCACTTCCAACTTTTTCTGTTTATGTGGTGTTGAGGAATCAAACCCAGGGCCTCATGTATGAAGGGCAATCACTCTACCACTGAGCCACCTTCCCAGTTACAATTATTTTTGAAGCTCTCCTCAAGCTTTCACTATGTTACTCTCATTTCCTGTTCTGCACATCATCAAGTTTCAGCTCTAAGATTATTATGGGCCACATACCAAGTCAGTACACATGAATGCAATGGAGAATATAAACTTTTAGCAGTGATACACACACACACACACACACACACACACACACACACACACAGAGCTATTTCTTTTTCTTTTCTTTTTTTTTTTCTTTTTGTCGGTCGTAGGGCTTGAACTCTGGGCCTGAGCACTATCCCTCAACTCTTCAGCTCAAGGCAAGCACTCTACCATTTGAGCCACAATACCACTTCCAGTTTTCTGAGTGGTTTATTGGAGATAAGAGTCTTGTGGACTTTCCTGCCCAGGCTGGCTTTGAACCGCAACCCTCAGATCTCAGTCCCCTGAGTAGCTAGGATTACAGGTATGAGCCACCGGTGCCTGGCACACAGAGCTATTTCTATAGAACAAGATGACGTGCTGTCATGAAGGCCCAAATAACAGGCAGTGGAAGACCTGAGGATGTTCAGTTATGTCTGCATAGAGGTAAAAGTGTAAGTCATAGGATCAGACAGTGGGCTATGACAGGCCTCTGGAAACATCAGGTAATAAGAGTAAAAGACTGAGAATTCTCAGAAGCAGCATCACTGAAGTCCAACAATAGCTAATACCTACGAATCACTTCACAGAGTGACTGAGCCACATTCATTTCCCAAGGGGTGGCACGAAAGGGAGGTAACAGAGGTAAGCCATAGAGCCTCAATGGAAGGCTGTGGGAAGGAGTTGGGTGGGAGAAGTTGATTTATACACAGACTTAGTCAGAGATGTGGGCTTGTCTATGGTGAACAGATAACTCCTGACAAAGAACATAGCAAAGCAACATATTCCTTTCAGTGTTCAGTCCCTCTTTGCAAGCTCATTAAGCCAACCCTGGTAAAGAGGCAGAGCTATTTGGCAAAAGACTAAGGAAAAGCCAAATTCTGGACAGGTTTTCTGCAACTTTTTACATATGGATCAAGACATCCAGGTCAGAATATGAGATTGAAAATGAATACAGCCTCGGGCTGGGAAGGTGGCTCAGTGGTAGAGCGCTTGCCTTGCATGCCTGAGGCCCTGGGTTAGATTCCTCAGCACCACATAAGCAAAAAGAAAAAAGCCAGAAGTGG